CCGGGAAACTCATCCAACCGAAAGACCAACGAGGTCTGCCCATCATCTTCGATTGAAAACAAACTAATTGGATCATTGTTCGATGAGAAGCCAGTCTGATTGACAGTCCACACAACGCTTTACAGGGGGGAAGAATAGCCGCCGGGATGAAAGAGATGGCGTGTCTACGAATAATAGCTGCTGCTGCTCTTTTACTCGGCCCGTCATCGGTCACTGCATTGACCATTGAATACTGCTCAGACGAAAACACTGCATCGGCGAGCACATTACGTACGATGGCCTACTATATCCTCCTCCATCTTTGATACTAACCCTGATTTTTAGAAAGGAGCATATATCAATCGAACGGACTTTGTCAGACGCAATGCAATGCGGACTATGCCTTTGCCGTCCTTCAGGGCAAAGATTGCTGGTGCTCAGACTATGTTCCAGCTTCGCAGACCGATACCTCGGATTGTAACACTTCGTGTCCCGGCTATCCATCCGATCTTTGCGGCAACACGGACAAAGGCTTATACGGTTACATCGCCATGTCAAATGTTGAGCCGTCAGGAACAGCAACTGGCACCACCGATGCTACCGGCACTGCCACGGCTTCATCATCATCATCTTCTTCCTCTACTTCTTCGTCTTCGGTAAGTGGTGAATCCCTGATATAAATATTGCTTCCTTGCGCGTTTATTGCCACCTTTTTTGTATGTGTTCTTGTTCTTGTATACCAAGGTGGCTCTGTGCGATCCCGTAAGTATTTGGTTTAACAACCGCACAGGAGGGTACGGCTACTGAAACATCTACCCCCCTGGTTGAAACCGTTACTGTGACTGCGTCCGATCCTACGAGCACGACCTTTACTACATCTGCACTTGCTTCTGTATGAAATTTTTTTTTAGGCCAAAACCGATGCTTGAGCAAGACTGACCTTGCCATGCATAGAGCTCTTCTACGTCCGATCCAGCGACCACGACCACCTCCCCAGCAATCTCTGTCCAGACTGAGGCTGGCCAACCTGTGACCATTACAGTCTCAGACACGTCTGCAACCTCTAGCGCTGCGTCTTCGTCAAACCAGGGCAAGAGTTCATCATTAAGTGGGGGAGCAATTGCGGGAATTGTCATCGGATCGCTTGTGGGTGTAGGAGCTGCCGTCGCTTTCGCATTGTGGTTTTTCTGTTTCGGACGTCGTGGCGACGATCGCACCGAGAAATCGGGATCTCCAAACGGCGGCAGTGTTGCAGGCGGTACAACTGATACGCGACGCCAAAGCCGCGGCTCACAAATGAGCTTTATGCGTAATTTCTTGAGTCCGGCCGATAATGAAACTTCGCCGACCTCTCCGGTAGACTATCTCAGTCCGAGCCAGGCTTTTACCGACAACCGTATGAAAAAGAATGCAGTTTTATATCCTAACGGAGATCGACAAAGCGCAGTGTCTCTTCGTGATGACGAGGACTATTCTCGTCCTGTTTTGAGGGTTCGTCTTTTTATCATCTGGTCCTTCTTGAGGTTGTCATGCTAACATGTAGTTCTATAACAAAAAGCTTACGAATCCAGACTAATTCGATAAATGTCTTTTCGACTCCTTGTTTTTGTATTCTTGCATGCACAGCCCAGCACAGCGCAGCGAACGGTTTTTTGTCTATGATACCCGCCACCCCCAGCGTTCGCAGAACCCGTCAACTACCCTACATTCATCTGCCCTTTGCGAGCTCAAAGAAGTTCAGCACAGCACCATCGTGTCTTCGACTGCATGTTGATCACACAACTCGTCGTCAAGTGTCTAGCATGTCGACCTGTTTATTCAAGTCACTGAGAGAGCGTCTGTCTCATTTTACGCAAACGTTACATTATCTATCGTACATACATCTTTTTTCGAAATTTCCCCACGCTCTATTCTTGCTGCAAGAGCTGGGGTCATCACAGGTTTTCGTGATATGGCGTTTAGTTGGTTTTAGTTGGTTTGGTATGGTATAGAAGCTGAAATAATTCTGTTGAAAATATATGACCTGTTGATGACTTGTATTTTAGTTTCCTAATTATATTGAAATTACATTGAATTAAACGAAGTTACCGTATTATCGTTAAGGCAAAAAATTCTGTGGCGTGGCGGCAACAATGCCCTAATTGATTACATCAAGCAGGCGACTTTTGGACATGGTTGATGTCAGTGCAGCGCATGGTTTATAAATGGCAAATGCAACACTGCTATTTACTAGTTTCGATTTATATCATGAGTATCTTCACAAGGAAAGAGAAGAGAGAAAATGGCAGACTCAACGGACTACCACGCAAAATCCTACCACTACCACCCAACCACCGACACAACGGACCTCACCGGCGCAAACACATCCATCTACAACACGCCGGCCAACGCATACGGCACCACGGGCCTGGCAGACACGGGCTTTGGGACAGCCACGTACGGCAACACCGACATCTCAGGCTACCGCAGCTCAAACTCAGATACGTATGGCGGACATCGCACCAACACGGGAGCTGCCTACGACGACACGGCGCGCAGCTCGAGATACGACGAGATCATCGAGGGGGCTGTGAACGTCTCCAACACCAATACTACCAGGAAAACTGACCGTGACACGGGCACTGGATACGGTCAGGGATTGAGGAATACGTATGATGTTTCGGCCGGGCGCAACGTGGAGAAGACTGACTATGGTAGTCGCACAGACTTTAGACGTTAGTCCCATAGTGTGCATTTGTATAAGACAAAGTATTAGGAATTAGAATGGTATGTAACTTTACAAGTTTATCCAACATTTATAGTTATGCGCTTGTTTAGTGCGCGGCGTCGCGTCTCCCCTGGCCGATGCGCGCTCCAATGAGAAGCGAAACCAACAGTGAACAATCGCTCTGTCGGCGTCTCACAGGCCGATCTCGTTCGGGCTGTTAGATACATATAAAGATCAAAGTGTAGTTGATTTTGATTTTGATTGTTACTATTTTCCACTGCTCGACCAATAATTTATAGTAGACGTGTGAGAACCAAAAAAAATAAGGATCAAAATGACTCCCACCATCACTGTCTACCGCGGTTTCCCAACAACAGCAGCCCATGTCTGGTCTCCATTCGCCATCAAGCTCGAGGCTCGTCTACGCTTTGCCGGGTTGACGTATACTATCGAGCAAGGGTCTCCACGAACCGGGCCCCGCGGCAAGATTCCATACATCAGCCTCAACACATCCAAAGACATTGTCGACGCCGAGTTCTTTTCAGACACCCAGCTCATTAGTGACCTGTTAAAGGAGAACGGCATAGTACCCGATCTGAACGAGGCACTGTCCCCGGCAGAAACCGCAATTGATTTGGCCTTGACGGCTCTGTTGGAAGATAAGCTCTATTTCTATAACGTATGGCTTGAGACAGACTCTTGGCAAACATCCCCCTTTAGAGCGAGGAAACTAAACTATGTGATAACGCAGGCCGTCGAACGATGGAATGACAACTACTACACCATGCGAGACGGCATCATGGCCTCTATCCCCTATCCTCTGCGCGTGGTGATTGGATACATAGCCTGGCGCCAATGCAATGCCACTCTCCACGGCCAGGGCACAGGCCGCTTTTCCGCCGACGAGATTAATTCCTTCCGGGAAAAGATCTGGAGTAGTTTTGACAATCTGCTTGCTGACGCGCGACACAAGACGGCCTCTGGTCAGAAGCTGTTTTGGGCTTTGGGTGGCAAGGAGCCTTCAGAGGCTGATACGGCGTTGTTTGGGTTTATTGTTGCTGGATTGGTTTGCGATGCGTAAGTTTATTTGTCTCCTGTGTTCAATTTTCAATCAACATGGCTGATTTGATTGTACATGTAATATATAGGTCGCCGGTGTCTGCGAAATTGATTCGCGGCTTGCCGAATGTGCTTGAATATGCGCGGAGAATTCATGAGACCTACTTCCCTGACTATGAGGCGCCGAAATGGGATTGAGCAAATGAGCTTTTGAAATTAGCATAGAAAGATAAAAGTTCGTTGTATCTTATTGTGATAATCCTTTGTAAAATATTTATCTGCTTTTGGAGAATGCACCAATGTAGAAAGAACAGTGGATGAAAGAATGAGAAGGAAGATAGATGGCTCGGACAAGTTTTCTCCCAGCGTGAATGTCTCTGCGCAAATGAATGAAATAGCAGTAGATTTCGAATCAATACCCTTGAACGGCTATCATCGCGGTATACATGGGCCTCCCAAGGCTACCTACCTACCTAGGTAACTCTCCAGTTAGGGCACAGCAGACCACGTGTCACCGCAATGTATGTAACAATACGTGCATAGGTAATAACCAGTCAATCCATTTTCAAGTTCACTCGATATAACCATTCAATTTGCACAAAATGGTATTCAATCAGTTGACATCAGGCTTAGCAGCTTCGCTCGGTTTGGTGGTTCATGGATTTTACTGCTACAGTGCTACTGAAGTAGAAGTCTATCTAAGTTGTTTTTCTCACTCTACCCAAACTTCACTCAATTTGGTTAAAGCGCCCTTTGAAATTCGATATTGCGATCTCGTTCTCGAGCGCCCTTGGGCATAATATATGCTAGTTGATCGAAAGTAGCTAGCTGTAAGCCCTAGGTTGAACTAATACATTAGCTGAGATACAATTTCTAATAAACTAACACGCCGAGATCACCAGATAATTCTATATTCACTTAAATTTTAGTTATATGGTATGTACTGATTACCTTTTTACAGTTAATGGTAGCTTTTAGTTATGCTGGCTGTGCCTTGAATTGGGAGTTAGGGCTAGCTCATGCAATTTGCATATCTAACAAAGACAACAGACTACTATCTAATTCTAAATGTTTCTTTCACGTATTTCAATTCGTGTGTTACTTGAAATATATAGTACCCTATATATGTATATGATTTTAAATCGGACGAAGTTAACTGGCTTATGCAATCTCGACACCTGCAGTAGTACAACGCATTGGTAACTCTGGCGGCATATATAAATCACAGCTTCCTCTCTTCCTGACTCTGTCCATACCTTTAAAAAGCACTGTATATATATATTAATATAAATTTACAGTGTTATCACCCTCGCAAAGCGCCAATCGTAACGCCCCGGAACCGGGCGGGCTTATATCTGATTGCAATCAACCGAGATAAATCGGCCAGCCCAACTGCCTCTTTCCCCCTAGCTTAATGTAGAAGCTATCACACAATTTTCTCCCAGGCACAAATCTGCTGGCAGCCCCCAAATGCCGGCATCTCGACGTGGTCCTCGTTGTAAGGGATAGATGTCGATGTGCAGTAGTAATTTTGGCGACATATCGCAGTGACAGTAAGGTATGGGTACCTGACTGATTGTTGGGTCATACCATGCCATGCAAATGATGCCATCAGCTTAAGACCCAAGTAATTTAAGTTGCTATAGCATAGTATAGGCTATAATAGCCCATTTGGGCCGCGGCCTTCACTAGCCAGCCAGACTGCCAATGTGCCCCCAACTCTCAATTGACCGATATTAAATTCCAAACGCGGCTTGCGAAAAAAAAGTTAGAAGGGAAAAAAAAGGAAAGTAAGAATAGAAAAAGTAATTATACTTCGCCCGTTTATTTTTCTCTTTTCCTCGCTCAGCCCGTTACTCTCGAGAAGTTTTCCGGGAAAAGCCTCTCCTCACCGCCGTATCGCTTCTTCCCTCCGTCCTCCTCCTCACGTCTCCGTCCGCGAGCTATCATTGTTTTTACTGTCATTGTTGTTCAATTAAGAGTGAGAGGAAGCCCGGGAAAGCGTCATAAAACAGACATTCATTGCATTCGGAATTGCTCGCGTCCACGGACCCTCGTCTCCCTTCCTTCGCCTCTGACCGCGGTCGACGAACTCGACGTCACTTGAGAAAGGACGCACACGGTGCCTTTCGCAAAATCCTTCGAATCTCGTGCAATTGACTGTCCCCAGTCATCAATTGCATATCACTGAGTTCATTTCTTCCAATTGATTTTTTTTGGTCATCGTCCATCCTAGTCCTCGGCTCGTGCATCAATTGCCAGTAAGCGCCACTGCGTGCCCACGCCGGCTATTCTTTCGACAACCACTCCTTCTATTTTACTGCCATCAATCGATCGATTTCCAGTCGTCATCCATTCCAGAATCCTGGGGTTGCTGCCGTGTATTTACTTATCAATTCCTTCGTTACCGTTGACAGTCGATCGTGCAGGGCTCACCTCCAGTGGACCTGAGCCACCATCAACCACGCGTTACAATTGCGTTGTGACACGCCGTTTTTGATTATATTCTACAAGGACCCGTTTTGTACCTAGACTGTGGAGCTTATACTACTTTTTCCACCTCTGAACAAGCATATATCTCATTCAAATGCAGCCTCGGTGAGAAGCACGACCCCCGCGAGCAGTTGGATCTAGCTAACAAAACTTGAAAAAACAACATAGACGGGAATATCACATAGTTGTTTTGGGCGCGGGTATGTCTGCCTAGGGGCAAAAGAAAAAGCACACGATTTCTAACAAGCCACAGGAGGTGTTGGGAAGAGCTGTCTCACAGGTACGGATCTCTTCCGGTCTTGCGCAGTTAAATGTCCGTCGACTGATACTTTCTGTGGCTAGCCCAATTTGTACAAAATGTCTGGATCGAGAGTTATGACCCAACAATTGAGGATTCATATCGGAAACAAATCGAGGTTGATGTGAGTAGTTTGATCCGTCAATACTTGGAGACTACATATAGCTAATCATGGAAATTTTCATTAGGGTCGACAATGTATCTTAGAAATGTACGTATTATATGACAAGCGCTCGCATCACGATTACGAAGGTGAGGAGGATACTGATATTGAACAAGACTCGATACGGCTGGAACCGAACAATTCAGTAAGCTCGACTCATCGTATAGAAATTGATTGATTGGAAATTCGAACTAACAATCGCTCTTTATAGCTGCCATGAGGTAATTCCGCGCACAATCGAATGTTAAATGTGAACTGATTTAACCGAATGACGAAAACAGGGAACTGTACATGAAACAAGGACAAGGCTTTCTCCTCGTCTTCTCGATCACCAGCATGTCCTCTCTCCACGAACTTTCCGAAATTCGCGAACAAATCATCCGCATCAAGGACGACACCAAAGTCCCCATTGTGATTGTCGGCAACAAGTCTGATCTCGAAGAAGATCGCGCCGTTTCGCGAGCTCGCGCCTTTGCGCTTTCGCAAAGCTGGGGGAATGCGCCTTACTACGAGACATCGGCCCGTCGTCGCGCAAATGTTAACGAGGTATTTATCGATCTGTGTCGACAGATTATTCGCAAAGATCTACAGGCATCTCAACTGCGATCCCTTGAAGTGCCAAGTCGGAAGCGAGAAACGCCTACTCGCGAACCACGGAAACGAGAGCGAAGATCTTATCGACGACGAGGACAATGCGTTGTTATCTGAAAGTTTTTTCGATTTTTCTTTCTTGTCCGCCCTTTCATGATTGCCATCATGTTGATGTCCGAATAACACATGGGCAGGCGAGACTTTTTCTTTCTTTTTCCACATCATGATCAACCAACGACTGACTCCAAACGACATATATACCTCTATACTATACCTCCTATACGAACGATTGATTCTATCCATGATCTACAACTACATGTATTCCTTCATGGTGGAATCCCCTGGGCTGGCTCCTGACCTTATCTCACGATACGGAAAAGTGTTTTATTTCGATCTATATGTTCATATATAAAAATATGCATTTGTACACACCAAGTGAAAGATTCAGAAATGTAGAAGAAAAGTCCCGCGATACGGATTATTCTACATAACGACTCATTTAGCTACCTTGACATACGCCTCACCAATTGTACGCTAGGCTTACTCCAAAGGCATCCGGTCCTGGCTAGGTAGTGCTATGGAAAATTCCAGTTGACTGCATACATAGGAACGAGCTCGTTAGAAAGGAAGTTTCGTGCCATCATAGCTGAAGTAGGTGCCCGCATCTTCGGTGGTCATGCCCTGCAGAACCTTCAGGCACTCAGCAGCCGACTTCTCGGTGGACAGATTCTCTAGGGTTGGATTGTTCTGCATAACCCATTCTGTGATTTGATCACCCATATCGGTGTTAACCCAACCTTTGGTTGCAAAAGTCAGTGACATGTGGTTACATCCAAGTTTCCTGTCAGTACTACTCACCAGGGTGGATCAGAGCAGCAGTTATTCCTTCGTCTTTAAGCATTGGCGACCACTTGCGGATCAACCTAGACAATTTATCATCTTCTCGTTAATAATTACTCTTTGCGTGCATGACAGTCAACAATTATTGCGTACATGTTCAAGCCGGCTCTGGCGACGGAGTATGCGTTCATGAGGTTTTTCAGATGCGCGGCTGTCGCAATTGAGCCCAGAATAGAGGTGACAAACAGGGCCTTTTTTGCCTCGCCTTTTCGGAGCAGTGGAAGAAACTCGCGCATCAGCATGAGTGGCGTGGTGACTGTGAATGTCACCTCGGCCGTGTAATCTTCAATGTTCCTAAAATACCGTCAGCTACGTCAACGAATCGAATGTAAATAAGATTGAATGAAGCCATACAGTTCCTCGAACGTCTTCGCCGGACTATAACTCACACCGGCGTTGCTGATGAGATTATCCAGCCCATCAGGGAGTAGTTGCTCTACCTTCTTGGCAGCTGCTTGAATGCTCTCGAGCTTTGAAACGTCAAGGTCGAGGAGGACGAGTCGGTCATCCTTGCTCTGAGCCTTGAGCTCCTGCAAGCCAGTTGCATTGGCGGTGTTCCTGGCAGTGGCGATGACTGTGTTGTTTGTGTCTTTCAGCTATGTACTCGTGTATTAGCTTCTAGAGGCCTGCCTCCCCAGAACCATCAACGACAAGCAAAGAAAAGGGAGGTCACCAGTTCAGCGGCAAAACCGAGTCCGATGCCACGGCTTGCGCCAGTAATCAAGAATGAAGGCATGATTTTGGTAGAAATTGGTACCTTGGAAGGTAAGGAAATCTGTCGTTGATAGAGCTTTTTTGAGTTTGACTGAGTGGAACTATACAATCACGAACCCCGCCAGGAAACAACCAAAAAAAAAAAGGAAAAAAACAACAACTGTCTAGCATGTGTCGCCATTTTATATTCCTATAGTCTTTTTGTTGGCTTTTCTTTTTCTTTGTCCTTTGTCTGTTCTCAAGTTCTCGTCGCTCGGTAGTCCGTCCATCTTGCCATGTGCCATTTGATGTTGACTGATCGATTAATACCAAGGCAAATGTGGCGTAGGACTTCTTGATCTGGAACCAACCAGATCAGCTCATTGGCAGCTCATATTGCTGATTATCATATCATAGATTACCATGCATAAAATAAATGCTTTTTTGGTCACGGGTTATAGATCCATGAGAGAGAGAAAAGAAAGTAACCCATCACACGGCACAGTTTGTGTTACTGATGTGCAATACTTCGTGTAGCATAATGCATGGTGCAGAGCATTCTAGAAAAAGGTGTTCGGTGAGATGAAGTCCGAATGTTACCTCAATATCATGCACTATATCGTTAGCTGATAACTGGATATTCCTACGAAGAGTTTCTGAGAGGAGCTTGTGTTATAAAGGCTGATTAGAGAACTAAGGGACCATCCAATGACTGCATAGAGCAGTGGTATGATTCGATGTACGACGATAAAATTCTAGGCATACTCCTTGTTGAAGGCCCTCCCAATCACCATCCTTCGAATCTCACTCGTACCAGCACCAATCTCATACAACTTAGCATCCCTCAACAGCCGACCTGCTGCGATTTCATTGATATAGCCATTGCCGCCCATAAGCTGAATAGCATCTAGCGCACACTCTGTGGCGCGCTCTGCTGCATACAGGATTGCGCCTGCACAATCCTGAGTCCGGATAATCGCGGTGCCCTTCGCGCTGGATTCGTCAATTTGTTTGGCTGTAGCGTAGGTGTATGCGCGAGAGGCGGCGAGTTTGGTGTACATGTCTGCAAGTTTGCCTTGTATTAGCTGGTTGTGAGCGATTGGGGTATTGAATTGTTTTCGAGTATGAGTGTAAGGTAAGACAATGTCAAGAGCGGACTGCATAATTCTACACCATCCATGTTAGCTACATGAAGAGAAAATTCCCTTTATCATGGAGGATTATACCCTAGTGGACCAGCGCTTAGGACGAGGCGTTCCAAATCTAGGCCTTCCATGAGCACCTTGACTCCACGATTGAGCTCTCCGAGGAGGTTCTCCTTTGGTATGAATACATCGTCAAAGACTAGTTCACCGGTATTTGAGCCACGCATGCCGAGCTTGTCAAGCTTACGCGCGCAGGAAAAGCCTTTGAAAGTCTTCTCCACGATGAACGCAGAGATACCCTTGGAGGCTTTTTCTGGCTCGGTCTTTGCGTATACCACAATATAGTCTGCATCCGGGCCCTGTAAACAAGCAGCAAGCATATCAGCACAAGATCAATCAACAGTGAGGTTGCATTTTAAAGAGTTTACAGACATTGGTAATCCACATCTTGGTGCCATTGAGGAGCCAGCCTCCATCCACAGCTTTTGCGGTTGTCTTCATGCTGACCACGTCTGATCCAGCAGAATGCTCGGACATAGCTAGAGCACCAATTTTCTCTCCGGAGATGAGCTCAGGGAGGTATTTTGCCTTCTGTTCGGGATTTGCGTTTAACGATAGTTGGTTGACACACAGCTGCGAGTGGGCTGCGTAGGAAAGAGCAATGCTTCCTGTGAATTGTCAGAGGAAAGAAAAAAAAAAAAACAATCATAGCCAAATAGAATCTTCGCACCTGAAGCTCGGCTTATTTCCTCCAGCACGGTGCAGTGTGCCTGATAACCCATGGCCAAGCCGCCATATTCCTCGTCTGCTGTCACACCTAGGAAACTGTTGTATAGATACGATGCTTAGTGCTGAAATTCATTGGTTCAGTAGCCAGGCCTTACCCAGCTTCACCGAGCTTCTTCCACATCTCTGCTGGAAAGTCATTCTGTTGATCTGTCCGGGCGGCGACCTCTTCAGGTATCTCTCGGCCTGCGTGCGTACCATAACGTAAGTTAAAGAACGTAAACGAAAGGCAAAACCAAATCGCTGACGAGTAAACTCCTGCACGCTCTCCCGTAACTCTAGCAGTTCCTCCTCCGTTGGTGGAACGAAACCCTTGGGATGCTTTGTGGAATGGTATCGGCTCCACGCGGGGCTCCGCAAAGCACCAGCTCCGCAGCGGAGTGGTCTGGAGGGCCGCAAAAGCACACGAGAAAGATGTTTCGAGGACATTTTCAAATTGGATGCGAATGCGAAGGTGTGAATGAAGATGAACTTCGCGCCGTAGCCGAGGGGGAGCAGAACTGTCTTGTTGATGTTACATGCCCGCTCGGTTGGACGCGGCAATCGTCGCTCTCCGCACGGCTTAGGAAGGAGCTGCCCGCGCATTATTCACATTCACTACCTGCGCATCTCCTCTTCGCTCTGCAAGACAAACACAGGCTGCTTCAGTGTTTACATTTCTCTCTCTCTCTCTCTCTCCCCCCCAGATGAACGCCAGGTTTAGATGACACTCCATCGAGATTGTGTCGACCACGTCGTTCCCCGCAATGATTAACCGCCGCTCCCTTCTCCGCACCCTAGCGGAGCAAGAAGCTAAATTCATCCCCAGACCAGGACGGTGCTTGTCGACAATCGCAGGGCAACGACGAGTGGCTAACCAGAAGAGAACCTCTTATAATCAGTTTCCCAAGAGTGCCAGCTCGCAGAATTCGAGACCGGTCTCAAATTATACCTTCCCGCATCATGCAAACGCCATCTCAGTACTACCCACTGCAGTCGATACCGAGTCAGCAGACTTCAAAGAGAACGAGCGACAGATGAATGAGATACTACAACAGATGACGCAGATACATGATAAAATCGCACAGGGTGGATCTCAAAAGGCCCGTGAGAAACATATTGCACGAGGAAAGATGCTTCCCCGAGACCGGGTCACGTCGCTGATTGATCCTGGAACATCATTCTTGGAGTTGTCGCCTCTTGCGGGCCATGAGGTTTACCCCGGCGAAGACGTGCCGGGAGGAGGAATCATCACAGGCATTGGAACGGTTGAAGGCGTCACATGCATGATTGTCGCCAACGACAGTACAGTCAAAGGAGGAACCTACTATCCTATTACGGTCAAGAAGCATCTACGGGCACAGGCAGTAGCACAAGAGAATAAGCTGCCTTGCATCTATCTTGTCGACTCTGGTGGCGCTAATCTGCCGCATCAGGCCGATGTTTTTCCAGACCGGGACCACTTTGGTCGCATCTTCTTCAACCAAGCGCGCATGAGCTCGCTTGGGATACCCCAAATCTCAGTGGTCATGGGTCCTTGCACTGCTGGAGGCGCATATATTCCTGCCATGAGTGATGAGACAATCATTGTTGAGAATCAAGGAACTATTTTCCTTGCAGGGCCTCCACTGGTCAAAGCGGCGACGGGAGAGGTTGTCTCTGCAGAAGACCTTGGCGGAGGTAGTCTACACAGCACAATCTCAGGTGTAACAGATTATCTTGCTGTTGATGATGCACATGCGCTAGTTCTTGCTCGACGCTCTATTAGCAATCTCAATTACCCAAAGACCAGCGTTCCTCTCTCGGGCCTCTCCCCAGACACCGATATCAAAGAACCACTTTACGACCCTGAAGAACTGGGTGGCATTGTTGGCACGAATCTCCGCCGGCAGATCCCCGTCCATGAAGTAATTGCACGTATAGTCGACGGCAGTGAATTTGCGGAATTCAAGCGTGATTACGGCAGCACCCTTGTCACAGGGTTTGCGCGCATTTACGGAACTCAAGTAGGCATTGTTGCCAACAACGGCATTCTCTTCTCAGAGTCATCGTTAAAGGGAGCACATTTCATTGAACTATGCGCTCAACGACGCATACCACTCGTCTTTCTACAGAATATATCAGGGTTTATGGTTGGTGCAGATGCTGAAAAGGGCGGCATTGCAAAGAATGGAGCAAAACTGGTAACGGCGGTAGCATGCGCCGATGTGCCCAAGTTTACAGTAGTATTTGGGTCAAGTGCTGGAGCAGGAAATTACGGCATGTGGTAAGTCAATATCTTCTTCTTTCCTTGGTGTGTTGTGTCCATGACTAAACTTCACATGTAGCGGCCGCGCCTATTCACCGAGACTGATGTTTATGTGGCCCAATGCCAAAATTGGAGTAATGGGATCAGAGCAATTGTCAGCAGTAATGGAAGCAGTAGGACGCAGCGCCGATCCAGATCTCAAAGCGAGAATCGATCATGAATCGCAGGCAATTTACTCTTCAGCGCGATTATGGGATGACGGCGTGATTCCGCCTGCACAGACAAGAAAGGTTCTTGGGATGGGATTGGCGGCTGCGATGGGTGGAAAGAATAAGATTGACGAGGCTGAGACGAGGTTTGGTGTCTTTAGGATGTAGTTAAATGACTCTATAGTCTCAATATCTGACGTCCCATAGCGATGCTCAAGCCTGGTTCTCCCCCATAATATACACATCAGCTATAACTTTCTTTTTTGTTGCCGGAAGGGATTTCTCTAGTAAGAATGCAGCTTGATTACCACGAGTATTGACGTAGCATTCAGGAGGTTGTCTTGAACCCTCTTCCCTCGTCGCCAATTTGCAGGAACTCGTCACGCCTCATGATATACCCGGAGCACTTAGACGGGGCAAGGAGCAAGCACGCCTGTCGTAGCTTGTTCCCCAGTTCTGTAGCCGTTGAACCTGATACCATCCACAACTTGAGTACTTCTTTTTTATAAGATAGCAATCACAGTCCGGGCGCATCCAAACTTTCATTATGATCAACTCAAGTGATTTCTCTTCTTCATCCAGCTTTTGCCAGAGCGCATTGTCAACGACATTTTCTGAATTTGACTCAATAAGATGAGAACGAAACTCCCGGGCATTGGCTCTAAGTGCATATTAAATTGGCCATGGTTGGTAAGAGGAGGGGGGGTTAAAGCTGAATTCCACACCGTTCTTCAATCTGGAGTGCAACACGCTTTACGTTCGCCCTCTGATATGTTTCTCAACGGCTAGGGTCTGCCGGAATTTATTCTAAAAGGCCACTTGCGACTAAACGTGTACGCCTCAGAGAAGTCATATAAAACTGTATCATAGATGTCACCGGGGAGTCTAAAGTGACAGTCCCTCACGTCTCCGTGGGTGATTCCGATCCGATGTAAAGCATCCAGGCGACGAAGTCGGTCGTATAACAAAGAGTGGTACCACTCCCGTTCGAACGGGCTCAAGGGCAGTTTCGTAAACAGATCTGAGAAGCTTCCGGGTAACATTAGGGAGATAGAGGTCGCCCCAGCTATGATACACTGAGAACTCAAGTTCGGTTTGACGGCTTCCAGCACGATGGCTCGCCGTTGGGCATAACCAGATGAGAACCTGGACCTTGTCATGTCTGTGATCACGCCATGGAACCTTGGGAAATAAATTCTTTCCCGGCTGGAGCAGAATTGGTCAATATGACTATATGCCCGAGCCTCTCGGGCAAATCCATCAAACTCGTGTATAGCATCGTCTATCACATGGGAGATCTGCGATCTCGACACTCTCAACCGCTGAAGTTGCTCTATAGACTGCTTTTCGGTATAATCGGGAAACTAAACTGGTATGAATTCTGGGTAGGTACAGTGTAAACAGCAATCGATCAACGCGCCGACTCACCACTTTGCCTATGAGCTTTCTGCGGCCATTAATTGGAAGCCAGAACACTTGTATTGTGTTCCCATTAACTCGTCTCGTTTTATCGACTAGATCTCCTAATTTCCAATTTTGATCTTCGGAATGGAATGGTCGGAACACTGTTTCGCTATTAATTTCTTTGACGAACCCAGGAGGATTGCCTGTATGTCTTGTCTTACTGGGTTATGACTAGACCGTCAAGACATAAACTTGGTATCACGTGAAAAGCTGTGACCTCCTTCCATCTCTCATCAGTTTTCATTATTCTGTTTAATAGCAGTGCCTACAGAATGCGATAAATGCCTTATCGAACTCAAGACTATCAAATGCAGTCGGCATAGCCCTACCATCTAGCTTTCTAATTAGTAGCTGCAGATGTCCATGAGTCAGAGCTGCTACCATTATGCCTTGGGCGACCCTTAAAACACAAAAGAATTGGAATGGCAGGAGGAAGTAAGAAGGGAAGTTTAATGAGTACGTGCTTGTTCTTATTAGCCCTTGTATTCTTGACCGTGACTCGGAATCAACAGTATCATGATAAATAACCAGTCACCAAGGTTCTGAATATCGATAGAGCTATTCAACCACGCTTATATGACGTTTGGAGCCGAATCGATATTGAATTGTGAGATAGAGTAGCTAGCCAGTAATCAGCAAGAACATCTGCAGACACATCAGGTGCTGCCACAAGACACGAACTAAACTATAAATGTGTTTGCAACTTTATCCTCAGCATGAATGCGAATGCGAATAGGGCTTAAGATATTGAAAGATACAGAGAGAAAGTTCAACCTAAACCTTCCTTCTTTTCCCGCATCCTTCCATCGAAGAAGTCGACGAAGCCGTACGCGTACGTTTCTTGTCCAATTCAGCTTGTGCTGCTTTTTTATCATTATTATTAGTAGCAGATGAAGCGACCCGCTTAGAGCGTCTTTTGTTGCTGCTGTCGTCTTGTTCTAGTTCTTCAAGGTCTGAGTGCTTCTTTCTCTTCTTGATTGCAGTGCTATGCCCATTCTTAGCGGGCATCTGTGCAGGTTTGGACGCCGGCTGTTCGTGTTTTACCTCGCGTTTATTCCTCCTGTCATTAGTTGCGTTAGGTTTTGTTGCTGCAGTCGTCGAAGAACTCTTCGGTTTGCGACCTCTTTTACAAGGTGGCGTGCTCTTGTTGGCTGAGTCTCGCTTCAGGGCGGCTGCCAGAGTTGGAATCTCGACCCTAATGGACATTTTACCAGGGTGTTGTTTCTCTTTCTCTGGTGTGCTCGCATTCTCCTTATCTTCTTCGTCTGCGACATCTACCTTAGCGACTGCGACAGGACTCGGAACTTCCTCGTCGATTTCTTCCTCGCTATCAGCAATAAACATGGTTTCTGCAAGAGGATGAGATGTTGTTTTTGTTGTTAAATCGGGCTGAGAGTGTTTCACTCTTTGACGACTGATAGACTCGTCCATATTCTCAATTGCATCGGGTGGCGGGGAATATCTGGAAAATTCCACATTCGTGTTGCGCTCACCAAATTCTGGACTTTCCCCTGTAGATGCAAGGAGAACACTGGCATCTTGTTTATCGACTCGCTGCGATTCATTTTCGTGTCCATTTGTTTTGGGGCCATTGGCAAACCAATCTTTCCGATAGCGCGGAGCTTTGAAGACCTCTCTCCAATTACTCAGTAGAGCAACCTTCTCTCCTTTGCCGGGCTCGTACAACTCAACCTTCTCATCTTCCTTAATTGGAAGTCTCCACAGCACGCCCTTGAAGGAACTCGTCATAGCGGTAGGATAATCGACGACAGAAGAGCCAAGCGACAGGCTAGGTATATTTTCGAGTGTAGAAAGTTTTCGCTTCTTCTTGTGTGACTCCCCTCCCCCTTCGCTTTTCTGCTTCGTAATTATCGTTGGGTCGTCGTCGTAATAGTCATCGGAATAGTATTCCCAGTCGCTGTAGGTATCAACGGTTTCAAGGGATGGATCTTCAACCATGATGGGAGAATGCACCGCGGTTTCAGCCAATTCATCCTGTTGGGAGAGGAAGACTAGAGTTAGAAACATATCACGATAAAGCATATTGTAAAAGCTTACTCCAAGACCCATGCAGTCATCCTCGTACCAGTACCAATCGTCATCGTCGTCGTAGTAGTATTCGTCGTCAGACATTGTGAAAAGTGATCGCTAATTGACGGATTGAAAGTATGAAGTAGAGAAAAATAAAAAAAAATAAAAAAGATGAACGACGGTGAATATGAGCGGGAGAGTAGAGGAGTCTATGTCATAAGTAGCCGCGGGCTTCAAGCCATTAATAATCCGTGCGCTTTGAGAATGGAACAAGAACAAAAGTGCGCAGCACCTTGATAGAGGGCATGAGAGATGAATCCAGAAAATAAATAATTTTCCATCCAAGTGATGAAACAGAGATCCAAATTCTTTTAGTGATCAATCAATCCATGGATCGGGAGGAGGTGGTTGGCTGACTAATTAGCGCCGTTCATAACCCTAACCCCAAGATATGTAACTATCACCGAGCACGTTCTTTTTATGAAATATGCTTTACTACTGAAGAAAAACAAACAGTACAACACACCCCCCCCCCTTTCTCTAACTCTGAAGGTATAGTTGTTTTATCTTCTTCTGGACAGATGAGTCCAGCCCTGCAAGGCCCTTGTTAAAATCATCACTGTCGGTTTTTTCTAAGTTCTAATTCGTCATGCTATTTCCTGTTCAGACATTGACGAATGTTACGTAGATGAGAGCTGCAGTCGCTTACATGATGTGGAGAGAAAAACGAAACCTTAGGCAGTGTTTCGTTCGCTTCCGAGGACATTGCGGGTTGGGGACCCTTGTGGCTTTGGTTTATTAACTAAATCAATCTGTATCCAATATGGAGCCAGAAAATACTTTGATACTACAGTTTTCTGATACACTGTAGCCGCATACCACAATTGTCACAAATCCCAGGGACAGTTTGATTCCGAAACACCACCGCCAGATTGTCCGCTGGGTGATCGCTCCTCCAATGAAGGGACCAACAATCGCAGCGATACCAAATACCCCCGACATGATGCCCAAGTAGCTCGCCCGACGCGACAATGGGATCGCCTTTGTAGTAACCATAATACCACCAGTGAAAATGCCAGCAGCACCAAGAGCAGAAAGCGCGCGGCCGACTATTAGGCCAGCCGAGTTGGGACTGGCTGTACATGAGGGAATAAATCTTGAATATAGCAATGGCAGCCAGATACACGATTTTCACAGAGTAAAGACTGTACGGTTTTCCGTAGACGAGCAGGAAGATGCTGAGTGTGAATAGGTAGATGGCGGTCCACCAGCCAACACCGTCCAAGGCATGAAAATCGTCACTGATGGTTGGTGTTGCGGTCGCGAGGATTGTTTGGTCCTGTCTCATTGGCATTTAGTAAGCCTGCAGTGCTTGTAAATAGTAGATTTGTGATGACAGATTTCTGCCTGCTTACCATTCCTGTGGGAAACACGGCCAGGCATAGTCCGACCATGATCAAGACAGTTTTCCCCGTCGGTTCATCTAGCACAGCGGTACTTTCACTTTGAGCTGTCAAAGAATTAAATGTGACAAGCTCTTGGTCGTGTTCTTGTCTTTTCTCTGTGCCAGTAGGCTGGCCAGGCTCAGCCTTGGGCTCGACATTATTCTAGCATTGAAAGCAAATACCGCGATGGTGGATGACAAGGGTTAGAGAGAGACATCCCTTTTTCCAACGCACGCATGGCTATTGAAAACAGTGTAACACAGTCTGGGAAACCGGACGTGATTGCTTGGTTTTGGTTGGCTGGTCTGTTTGATCAAACAAAACCACTGATTGAGACTCTCATTACGGAGCATTTCACTATAGACCGACCCAGAGGGAAAGACACTCGAACATTGGATGTTCGTTTGGCCACCTATATGCTCTGAAAAGCTAACAGGAAGTAATCACGGCGCAATTTCAGCATTTTGATGATAAATCAGTCAAAACACACGAAATTATGCACTGAGGGGCACATCCGTAAGCTGCCCCGGAACGCAGCCGAAGATGCCGAAGAAGATTGTATAATTATTCCCGTAACCCCAATTTGTTGTATGTGATGTCCAGCTGAGATTAATCAACATTCACGGACTGAAATCCCCCTGTCAACGCTTGTCGTCATTAAAGCCGGACCCCACCCCTGTTCGTCAACCAACACCATGACATCCAGCCAAGCGCATACAGCCCGCTCAGTGCTAGACGCCTTTTACAAGGCAGAGCGAGAGTACATGTCGGTAGCTCCAGAGGAGCGCAACTTCGCCAGCATCGCAGCCACTCTAGCCCCAAACGTTCGCATGGAGCAGACGTCTGCTCTGCCCTACGCCGGCGTCTACCTCGGACCCTCCGGCATGCAGGACTGGACACGCCGCATGGCCGATTACTTCGACATCGTTGATGTGCAGAACCCAGAAATCTTTGAGCGTGCGGACTCGGACCGGATCGTTGTGCTCTCGAATATCCACTTGAGAGTGCGCAAGTCTGGGCAAGAGATGGATTTTCCGTTTTGTCAGACCTTCACCATCGACCTCCAGCGCGGGGTGATTGTCGAGTTGAGACCGTTTTACTGGGATGTGGCGGCAGTGAATAAGGCTTTGGGGCATGAACCCTGATTGAAAGCCATGGGGGATTGAGTATTCTTTTTCTGTGTGGCATATCTGATCGAATATCTCTAAGTGTGATCTCTTCTTCAACTCTTGCAAATCAACTCGTCCAATCATCATCCATGTCCACCCTTACTCGGGTTCTGATTGGCTGGTGCTGCAGAGAGCTTTAGCCTTTTAAGTAAAGCAATGCCTGCCTTCCATAAAAAGATTAGCGCCGTTAAGAAACATTCGGGTACAAGATGCCAAGGCGCTAATGTAAGCAAATCTCCTGATCTAGTAAGGCTTACGCTATGCCAGCTAGCCGCCAATCAGGGCTACAGCCTTCTCAAGCTACTAAAACCAAGAGACATGAGCATTCGGACACAGATAAATCAAGCCATTCCCTCCTCTCCAGAAAACTTGTACTTGCAGAAAAAGAAGGACGGCACCGGTGAGGAGCGTTTATCCCTTCCGCTCGGTTGGGTTATGCCGGAAAAGCCAGATGACTATGAGGCCCTGACAAAGGAAGACAAATTAAAGGCAGATAGGCTTTATGAAAGTGCCCTGTGCCATAAGTACTACGAGGTCCTTACTGCCAAGAGGAATCCTCAACACTATGCTGCTCTAAGTGGAAGTCGCCCCTCATCCACCCCATGAGATCTATAATCGGAGCTTGGTCGTCAGGGGAAGTCTTCGGGCTCCGCTCATCATTAATGGCTGTGGTAGATAAATGGTCCTCCGAGCTGCAGTTGACAGTTCCCTGTCCTATTTCCTTCACAGAGAAAGAGAAGGAATCGCACAATGAAGAGATAGAGAATCGTGACTATATCAGCCAGCTAATGGAAGAGTTTCAAGACGCGGGAATCCTACCCATCAATGGAACTGTCGATCCCGAAGATTACGATATTGTGCAGAGCACGAGCCGCATGCAGAAAAGAAAGTTCATGTCGTTAGCAGAAGCGAGGAACAGAGAAAGTGGATAGGCAAGATCTGGTCGTACCAGGATCGTCTCGTTGAGGCATGACCATACGCCCTTTTGGTGTTCAGTGTGAAGTAACGTAGCTAGATATTAAACATGAATACCCCCGATAATATGCATGCCTTACAATCCAGGCACTCAGTAGGCACGTGCACGCGGGCCGAAATGGGGGATTTCCCCGCGCGGGCGTCGCAGCTTAGCTTCGGTTGGCGTCGGCATTCCCCATTCCAGTTGGAGGAACCAAAGCAAAGCAATGCAACAACCTGCGATTATTTCTGCTCTGCAAATAATATCCTCTTCGACATGGCTTTAGTTTAAATATTTAGCTTGCTCATCATTCGGCTCTTTTTCTTTCTGATATACCCCCTCCTCGTGTTCAGTTCGTCGCGATGACGCTTTCACCCCTTCTCCGCACCGGCCACCACCGATGGAGTCAAGCCGCACTCCTCCTCAGATCAAAGCCCGGTTCACGAGCAACGTCAACTCTGACTGCTTCTTTGGAAAATGCTGCGATTCTGAATTCGATACTGATTGCCAACCGCGGCGAGATTGCTCTGTATGTTTGAAAGCAAGCAAAAAGTGAGATGAATATTCTAACAGCCGATCATTCTAGACGAGTTGGCCGAACGGCTACACAGCACGGCATCAAGGTCACAACACTTTACACAAATCCCGATAGTAAAGCGCAACATGCACTGAGCAGTCCGTACGCGTTTAATCTGGGGGAGACAGCTGCATATCTAGATGGGGACCAGATCATAGAAATAGCCAAGAGAGAGGGCTGCCAGGGCATTCATCCGGGCTATGGTTTTGTTCGTGACTACTCTGTCAAAAAAAAGAAAAAAAGAAAAAAAAAAAATAGGGAAATGAGTACTGATGAATAAATTATAGTTAAGTGAGAACTCAGAGTTTGCACGTAAATGTGCGAACGCAGGGTTGGTCTTCATCGGGCCGCCATGGAAGGCTATTGAAGATATGGGCGATAAGAGGTAAACACCCAACAAATCTACGTATGAAATGTATTACGAACTCTTACTTACGAAACCACATTCAAAAGCCGTTCAAAGGAAATCATGACCGCAGCAGGTGTGCCTTGCGTTCCTGGTTACCACGGAACCAACCAAGATCCCTTGTTTCTCGAGTCCGAGGCCGACAAGATGCATTACCCCGTCCTGATCAAAGCCGTCAAAGGAGGCGGTGGAAAGGGAATGCGAATCGTCAGATCCAAAAGTGAATTTCAAGATCAATTGCGGTCTGCGAAAATGGAGGCGCTAAATTCTTTTGGAAATGATCACATGCTGGTGGAGAAGTATATCACAACCCCACGACATATCGAAGTACAGGTCTTTGCAGACGTGCATGGCAATTGCGTGGCCCTGGGAGAGCGAGATTGCAGTATTCAGAGACGACATCAGAAGATCTTGGAGGAATCTCCAGCTCCTCACCTGCCAGATAGTGTGAGGAAAGATCTTTGGGAGAAAGCAAGGGCTGCTGCACTGGCGGTGGGCTATGAAGGTGCAGGAACTGTGGAGTTTATCTTCGACAATGACACAGGCCGCTTTTACTTTATGGAAATGAATACTCGACTTCAAGTCGAACATCCCGTGACGGAGATGGTAACAGGACAGGACTTGGTCCACTGGCAGATCCTGGTTGCCCAAGGCGCCTCTCTTCCTTTGACCCAGGAAGAGATCGAGGCCAACATTGCCGTCAGAGGACATGCAATTGAAGCTCGAATCTATGCGGAAAACCCGGATCAAGGTTTCATACCCGACTCTGGCCCGCTACTCCATGTTCGACTCCCCAAAGAAAGCGAGGACGTCCGAATTGACGCTGGGTTTATTGCTGGGGACGAAGTATCGGCTCATTATGACCCTATGATCTCCAAATTAATCGTTCGGGGCTCCAACCGCGAGGAATCCCTCCGCAATCTAGCCGCGGCATTAGAGGAGTACGAGATTGCCGGGCCGATCACAAACATTGAGTTTTTGAAGGCGGTTTGTAAGAGCGCAGATTTCGCATCAGGCGCGGTTGAGACGGGTTATATCGAGAAGCATCGCAACGAGCTCTTTGCCAAAAAGCCAGCCGAAGACGAGACTTTGGCCCAGGTAGCTTTGGCGGTTTTCGCAACGCACGCTGCAGCTTCAGGTTCGACTTCTAGGTCAACAAAGTCCAGTCTTACAGGGTCAATGCTAGGATTTAGTCCTAGTTTCCAGCAGCGCCAATTCAGCTTTACCGAATTATTATCTGACGAAACTGCGAATTCCACGACGCATCACGTCCAGGTTCAACAGCTCGGCAGTGATACCTTCCGAGTGACGGTGAACGGGCGCACGTTCGAGCGAGTCAACAGTGAAATGAACAGCGACACCAACCTGATTACGTCGTTTTTTGCACACACGCGGCTAGACACCCGCGTAATCCAGGACGACGATACGATTACCGCGTTTCAGCGGGGCAAGCAATACCGATTCACGACGGGGCGAGCGGGGTGGATGGAGAAGGCGCTGGGGATTAAAGACGTTGCAAACAGTGTTTTGGCGCCGATGCCGTGCAAGATCCTCAGCGTTGAGGTCATGGAGGGGCAGGCAGTGGAGAAGGATCAGCCGCTTGTTGTCATCGAGAGCATGAAGATGGAGACGGTTATCCGCAGCCCGCACAACGGGACGATTACGAAGATTGTGCATAAGAAGGGGGTGAGTGTGTATACTTTCTTTGTTTCTTTTCTTCCTTTTTTCATTCCCCTTCACTTTATCTTTTATTGTCGAGCAAAGCCGACGTCGCACTTGTGATATGTATAGCGACGATGGTATGGCCCAATTAGGCTTAGGCCCCAGCGGGGAGCTCCGAGGCTCAAGCAGACGTTCTTGGTGTCTTCGAGATTTAAAAGAAAGCTAACCAACGCCGTGCAGGACCAATGCAAGAGTGGAACGCCACTTGTCGAATTTGCCGGAGCAGAAAGTTGATGCTCATCTTATGCCTAGGGCAAAAAGCAGTGAATAATGGTATTACATACGAGGCGTTGTGGGATTACGTAGTGTGTCTGAGTATTTGCCCCTTTGACTATGAAAATGCAGAAAAAGAAAATACAAGCACAGCAGAGAATAAGTCATCTGACAATTCCGTTGTATACGTGCTAGTAACAGCCCCGGCAAATCCGTATGTACTCCGGGGCTTCCGCGCGCTCGGGACATGGGGCTAGCCCAGCCCCTTAAGTGTATACATATGTCGTTACAAAGAGTGCATCGTACACGCTCCCAACAGGGAAGGCCGAGATGTCCATCGCAGGGTCATGTGATTGATGCTGGTTTACGATCGATTTGGCCCAGACAGCGCCCAACTGCAGTCCAGACCTGCTCTTCTGCTGGTGGTGTGCAAGAATACAAAACACCAATATAAATACCACACATTGGCCTATGGGAAATTTTCGTCTGGTCATGTGGAGGGTTGGAAGCTTTCAGGCGCGGCCAATCATCCGCGCGGCCCCACTGCGATGGGGCGCCTGGAGCTAGATCTTCGACCCACTCGTGCTCTTATTTTGGAGTGCGTCTCCCTAACCCACACCCCTGGCCTCTACTATCTAGAATAAACACACCGAGTAGCTAGCCATAGGCATAGCATGTAACACGATTCCTGCGGCCATATCGAGTATTTATTCTGTACCGTTTGAATGGCAGTACCTAGTAAATGCTGCCAGCATTCTGGCAGCCATTGCATGAGTATCCATGCAAGTGGCATTCCTCATCAACCCCTGCCCAGGAGGATCCATCACATAGTTTTACCTCCACGACAGCTCTTAGCGTGCGCATCCCAGGGCAATTGGGTTTGGCATTTGCCATTTACTGACAGGATTTGTCTGTCTGTGTCACGGTGCAAATCAACACAGTACGGGGTAGTACATGTTACAGAAGCTTTGATCCTTATTTTTACTTTTATTTTTATTTTATCGGCGCTTCCCACCTCCGCCCCGATGTTTTTTGCCATCCGGCGGATATAGACAGACTAGTAGTAGTTATTTATTCTCAGCGCCTGCCCACCTTTCTCCTTTTCTTTCCTTCCTCCCACATAGCACGACGTCCTTCTCTACTACGTACTCCCCCATTGCATTGGTTCCAGGGTTCTTGTGCAATGGCCGCCATCTTCAAACCGACGACGGCCGCTCGTCAGGCCATCCGAGCTGCCAGCCAGGCCTCGATCGCCCGCCCATCCATTCGAGCTGCTCGCCCAGCGTTGTCCATCACCACAACTCGATCCCTCTCCACCACACCCGCTCGCTTCCAGAATGACGATGAGTCCAAAAAACGGGCCACCACAGATGCTCCCCAGGGAGCTTCGGGCGCCCACGAAGGAGCGTTTGCTCGTACCGACGACCGCCTTGTGATCGAGCACCCGGCCGACGAGGAAATGCCTCGCTCGCCCGTTGTTCAGGGCCGCGGCGGCATGCACTTCAAGCGCACGCTGGCGTCGTTTTCGCTGGAAAACAAGGTTAGCGTGGTGACTGGCGGTGCCCGGGGCCTGGGCCTGGTCATGGGGCAGGCGCTAGTGGCTTCCGGCTCGGATTTGGCCATTGTCGACCTGAATAGTGCGTTTCTATCTCGCTTTCTTTCTTTCTTTCTCTTTCTTTGTGCTTTCCATTGGCTAACATGTAATTACAATTATTGCAGAGGACGAGGCCGAGGACCAGGCTAAGAAGCTCGTAGCCCAGTTCCAGAAGGAAAACCCTGGCTTGGAGGAGTGAGTCGCTACCTGTGGTAGCAACTTGTTTGTTATCAAAAGAAAAATACAAAAAAATAAAAACAAGCTAACATTGCTTCTCTCCCAGGCTCCCCAGAGTCACTGCTCACTACGCCGACGTCTCCGACCCGGAGTCGGTCAACCAGGTGCTCGCACAAATCGTCGAACAACATGGCAAGATTGACAACCTGGTCACATCTGCCGGCTTCACCGAGAACTTCGACGCCATCTCATACCCCTACGACCGCATCAAGAAGCTCTGGGGAGTGAACGTGGACGGCACATACCTGTTCGCCACGGGCGTTGCCAAACACCTGATGGAGCGCAAGGCGCCCGGAAGCATCGTCATGATCGGTAGCATGTCCGGAGCCATTGTCAACGTTCCTCAACCCCAGGCGCCGTACAACGCCGCCAAGGCCGCGGTGCGACACTTGGCCGCCTCGCTCGCCGTCGAGTGGGCTGGCTCCAACATCCGTGTCAATTGCATCAGCCCCGGTTACATGCTGACGGCCTTGACCAAGAAGATTCTCGACGAGAACCCAGAGCTGAACAGGCAGTGGACGTCTTTGATCCCGCAGGGCAAAATGGGCACGCCCGAGGACCTGATGGGCGCGGTTACCTTTTTGCTGAGCGATGCTTCTCGCTACGTGACGGGCGCCGACCTCCGCGTTGACGGCGGATACACTGTCACCTAATTCACGCCTTTCATTTGCATTAAGTAGTTGCTGTCTTTGCTATCATATCCTTTTGATCGTTTTTCTGCCAGCGTGTTTTTTACCCTTTCCTAAAACTTTTCCTTCCCCTCCTTTTATCCGACTTTCGGCTGTGGTTTATTGTTCATAGACGGTGTACGCGCGATGAAAAAAAAAAAGGAGAGAGGCTAGAGCGGTCCTGCATGTGTTGTTTTTTTTTTTTTCCCCTTCTTTTCTTTTATTATTGGGGGCATGGATAATAGCAGATCTCGAAAGTCGAGCAGATACCCGCGATTTAATCAACATCCCTTGCTATAACTATATACTATATTATTATTTCCGAGTTGGGCAAATAGGGCTGCCACCGTACTAAGGCGGAACAAACAAATAATTGCATATAACATGTAACATATAACATATAATGTTATATAGTAAATAATATACATCGGCAAGCGCGGCTTCGTTCCAAATCCTTCATCCCACCCCCAGCTAGCCCAAACGGGCGTTCCGTGCCTTGCAGCAGAGTGATTCGGTCCAGCTGACTGAGGAGTCATCCGCAGGTTTTTGGCAAGAATTCGTATTCAACAATTGTCTCAAAGACTGGCATGAAATTTGAGATAAAATCGCAGGCTAGTCCTGTTCGGGACGCCCTCCCAGACTGGCGGTGAATCGCTCCTTCCTTTCCCTCTCAAGATGTTCGTTCCCCTCCACGACCTCCGGTTGAGCCTCTCCTTCATCGCGCTCTCACTCACTCACTCACTCACTCACTCACTCATCCTCCATTGCATCGCTCTCCTACCCTCTACTCCATTCACCGCCGAGCTGTCCTGCCCCGGCACCCCTGCTCGGCCCCGTCGGATTCCAAACCGCTGATACCTGCCTGACCAGCTCGATCTTCATATCACGTCGACGAGATGTTGCGGCCAAGTCAGTGACACGTCTCGCTCAGGACGGACAACACTTGGCTTCTGCTCCTTTCTCTTCCACCCCCGGATTTCTCCAACATTCCAGTGGCCAAGTCTATGCAAGGACATGTGCACGTCCACATCATACATCATTGCTTAGCTTTTTGTTTTTTTTTTTTTGTTTTTTGGTACTTACTTCCTTCTTTTCCTCCCTCGACTGCTTCCAGCATGGTTGAACACGCCTTCTTCGATCTCAAGTCATACGTGTCTATCATGTAGCCGAAGAAGTTGTTGACATCTGGCGTCCACCCGAGTGACAAAAGACAATGGCTCGTGAATTCCCTGCCGACGTGGTGAGGACCACTGACAGGTTCGCTGCCGAATTGGGTCAGGTTAATGGTATCAATGTGGATGATATTGCTCGGCTTTGGAGAGGTACTATTGCATCTGCTAAGCCCTTATTTACGAAATAAACTAACAAAATATTCACAGCGTACACGACGCAGCAAACTGTTGTGCAAGATGTCGTGGTGTCCCGGTTGGAGAATTTCTTCTGGAGGATATGGAGCAATGTCGCTCTCCAGCAGAATCTTACTGGAATTACACTGGCAACTCTTTTCATGGCTATTCATGAAAACTCCTCGCTTCATATTGATGCCCATCGCCACCAGTCGCTCTCGGAAGTGGGTTTTAAGAAACGATGTTACAAGTCGTATGTTGTGCTGACTTGACTCGTTCATAGATCCAACCCCCCTCTGTCATCATGGCCGAAGCTTCATTGACTATCACCACCAACCCCCAGTCTGACGAACAGAAAGAGTCACCGAAGAAAGAGTCCAAAAACCCCCTTCCACCCATTCTCAAGAAATCCACCGAAGGAAAGAAAAGCCAGCCTCCGACAGCACCGTCTTCTTTCAAAACAACAAGGATCGTAGTCCCCGAGAAGCAAACTCAGAAAGCGACTAAAGATACAGCTGTAGAAAACGGGAAGGCAACAGCCATAACTGCGCAGAAGCCAGCCCGTAAGAAAGCAGCCTTTGTCGCAAATCGGGCAACCTCGTCAAGACGAAGAGGCGTGCTTATTAGGAGGAAATCTACACAGACTTCGCCTGTTCAATCTCCAGCTGTTGAGCGCTCGGAGGAGAGCTTAGAAGAGGAGTTTATAATGCCAAAAGACGAGCAGGTAGAAGAAACTGCGCAAAGTAAGCCTCTCTTTTCTTTTCCATTTGTGTCGTTTCTAGAGGTTAATTAAGTAGAATCCGAGTCTTTCAGCGTCCCAAAAGGCCCCGAGTTCTCGTGGCGTTCCTTGTCCTACTTGAAAGTTGATGAGAATAAAACTGCACCACCACCACCAGAACATAAAGCCACCGGGTCTGGAACAAGCCCTCCTCCTACAAACTTCTCTCTCAGCAGTGTCCGCCACCACCGTAGCCCCGAGAGTGTCCAAGCCTCATATCAAGAAACCACTCGGAGCGTCGCAAAGTCCAATAAGCCTCTGGTTGACCAGGACTTTCGTACACATTTCGTTCAACGAAAACGCCAAGAATCTGCGCACGGCACCAACAACAACAGCACAGCTTCTTCTCTCACCACCAGTCTCAGCTCGACGAATTTCCGAGAACTGCTTAACGCTGCCCAAGCTGCTGCACAATCTCTTCCGAACCACGACGGTCCCAGCGCAAGTACAGTGACCATGGTGACATCGACTCGTAAACCAGACGGTAAAGATCGAAGCCGACGACCAATGATAATCAACACACAACTGGATATAGAGTCTGTTCCTCATCAACCTACAGTTGCGGTAAAGGTATCAGAATCATCAACGTCGACATCGCAACAAACAACAAGCGGTGTCTTTTCGGTGCCGAAGGAATCGCAGGGCCAGCTGGGCGAGCAATTGAACAGTTTGATCAAGGGGGCGAAAAGGAAGAATAAGAACTAAGATGTTTCATTCCATCTGTAGTATGCAATACTCGTTGTTTGCTTCTTTCATACACTCAAGCCAAGGCAGTTGATTAGTTAACAAATTATCGTTCTCAATATAGATAAAGCTGACAACATATAACCATGCACACAGTAAAGGAATAGCAGTACATCTGGATATAACAGACCAGACACTGAGATATCCATCGACGACAAAGAAGAACTGCCATGAGCAGACTGACGGCACCAGCGTCCATCGTGTTCGACTGACCCGAGAGAGAGAGAGAGGGCTTATACAGGCTCCTCCACGTCGACCGGCTGTATAGCATTCCCCTGATAGTGAGCCCGCCGAGGACCACTCCGCTGGCTCTCCGCATCCCAATGATTTTCCCCATCTCCAGCACCACCCCTAACATCAAGCGTGTCCTCACCAGCCTGCGTCTGAGCATCCCTCGAAGTCAAGGCCCTCCACCACCTCAACCCACAGCCCGTAGCAGTCGTCGCCCACAGTAACAAATTCATAAAATCCACCCACACCGCACGCTTCATCCGCTTAATCCCCGACTGGCCCTCCGCATCCTCGGAGATATACATCTTCCCAAAGATACCAAACAACACCAACCAAAATATACACAAAATCACCTCCCACACGAAGAACGGCAGATGCATCTTCACATACGAGGTTATGGCTGCTGAGGGGCCCTTTCTGCGCTCCAAATACCAGAGAGAGAAGAGATGGACGCCAGCCGTGATGGCGGAAACGCACGATGTCCATTCGGCATAGACCCATTTCGGGTCGGCGTAGACGCCCTTTTCGGTGGCGTGGTGTAGGTCTATGCCATAGAGGCCGACGATGGTGAGACCCATGGCGAATTGGAAGAGGCGGAGGGTGAGGTTGATGTAGAATTTGGGGGGTTGCGGGGGATATTGTTGCTGCTGGCGGCGACGGCGGCCGCGCTGGTTGTTGCTGATACGACCACCACCACGACCGTAAGCAGGAGCATCGGCGGTGCCGGCACCGTCCGGGGTGAAGATGGTTTTTTCGGTCATGTCGTTCTCGTACCAGACGTTATGTTGGTCGGGGTGTCTGCGTTTCTGGACTTGTTTGAAGCCGAATTTGACTGCTTTGATCATGAGGAAGGACATGGTGGCGGGTTAGATCTTATAAATGGTTTTATTTTGGCTGTGAGTCAAAATTCGTTTTCTGGTGAGTCAGAATATGCGTCCTGCGCAGGTGTATGGATATGGATGTATCTGAAAAAAAAAAAAAAAAAAGAGAAGAAGAGAGGATGGCAGAAGTAGAGTCACTGCAATCTATGCAAATGACTACAACGAGAGTGACAATGACAATGACAACAAAAGAAAAAAGAAAGAAAGAATACAATGATATAGATACAAACAGAGGAAAAAGCTATGACTACAACTGGACATATCTTTGCTTTATAACTTCGATTCCAATGCATACATACACTACGCATACGGACCGTTTCATCGTTCTCGTCCTCATCCAAACTGAAACAGAAACACCCAGAAATAGCAACTCGAGTTCCCATACAACAGTTCCTAGAATAGCTCTCCATAACTCCTTGACGGACGAGTGGATGACAACTTGTTTCAACTTGTCAACGCCGTTGAGGATGAATAGGATCCATTCGTTTGTAAGGCTGTACACTATATGCTTATATATATAGTAACTAGCATGAGTATTGAATACTTGCGTATAGTAGACGGCGGTATCAGAGTGTTCACGAATCAAATCAAGCCATTGCTTAGCCATGCCGGTGTCTGCTACAGAGGTCAGGGCTATTGATTGGCTCTTAAGCGGCCTAAGTTTACAGTAGCTCAGTTAGGGCTGTTCGTCACGGGTGAGCAGCGCGGCGGCCGATTGACTGGCTGTCGATGAACGTCGGCCGGTTACGATGCATAGACTGACTGAATAACGAATGAATTAATGAAATGTTTGCAACTTAGCACGGCAAAGAGAGAATGGTAGAGAAAGAACTACGTAACATTGTCCTAGATACTAGACGGTATCTATATACCATGTACGTGTACAGCTAGCTGCATTCATACAAACGTATGAGAATGATTATTCCGAAACGACTCACTCACTCACCCACATCCCACCGAAATAATAACATATCCACCCTACTAGCTCGTAGGCATACATTATTGACACTCCATTCTGGATTTTGGAGACAGTTTGATACGCTTTGTACGAGACCATGACTTGTTGACGCCACTGATGCTGACTAACAATCGGAAACACGAGAAGAACAACTCTGTCGAAAAAAGCCAGGAAAAAAAGAGAGAGGGGCGATTATGAAAGATGAAACTCCAATGCTATAAACAAAGACACAACAAAATGGAAACGCCACCCAGAAAGTTGAGAAAGATCAAGACGGTCGATCCATGCCACCGTCGCCGATTCCTCCTTTGATTTGAGCTGACCCTTCAATAGGAGGAGAATTTCCTGTGTTCGGCATGCCTACAGGCGGCCTATCTGCCATTGGCTGTGGTACAGGAGGAACTGATGTAGGCATCGGCGGCGTTTCATCTTCGTACTCTCCAAGATAGTCATCCGGATGATGTGCATTCATCGGTGGCGCGTGTTCAGCACCGTGCTGATGTGCAGCAGCAGCAGCCTGAGCCTGTTGAGCACCTGTGCCCGTCTGCTTGGCTGCATTCTTGGTGGCCTTTTTGCCTTTTCGGCCTTTCATCTTCGCCTTCTCCAGAAGGCGTCGCTTCTCCGCCAACCGACGCCGCTCCTTCCGATCCTTAATCTCATATTGCCGGATCAGCGCTCGCGGTGGTTCTCCAAAAATGGCTTCGTACTCGCAAAACTCGCACATCCAGATCTCTTCCGGGCTAGGCGGGTTGTGGATATTCGTGTAGTGTTGTTGTATCTTGCGACGCCGAGCTGCCAAAGCATATATACTATCTCGAGACCGTTTGGGTCTCTGACCGGGATTAGCCCCCGGTGCACCTCCGGCAGGCGGTTGGGGTAACTGCTGCTGTCCACCCATCGCGCCCATGCTCGGACTGGTCTGCGTTCCCTGAGTAGCAAAGTCACGCGGGTTCGGTGCAATTGGAAAACGCGGATACGTGCCTGGAGCATGCAGAGCAATGCTCTTCGAACTATCCGATTCACATGTGAATGTGAACTGTGTCCCTGTTGCATTGGGCTGCGGCGTGCTTGCTTGTCGTTCAAGAGGACTGAGAATGGTGTTGGGTCCTCTGGAAGGGGGAGTGAGCGCGGCTGCATTTGCGATTGCCGCTGAAATTATGCCTTGGTCTGGTTTAGTAGCTCCTATTTCACCTAGTAGACACAGAGTCAGTGAACAACAGCCTTGATAATACCGTCGATTGCACCATGGTATATACCTGTTCCGATATGTGAAGGCGGTGCCGGATCCCGAGGACTACCAGGCGGTCGCGCACCCAACAAGGCGCCTTGAGGATGCACCGGAAGTGCACCGCGGCTACCTGATGTGCGTGGTGTATGACGCCCATAGCGGCCGCGCCCTGACCCCGAGATCCCGCTTCCAGCATTCGAGGCAGCTGGACTGCCAGAACCATAATATGTGCCAGTCCCCCCGTCACCCAGGCCACCGGGCGATCCAGGGTTGGACCCAGATATTCCCATGCTCGCAAGATCCGTGGTGAGGGTAGAATGATGACTACCCAGCGTTCCAGAGGTGGGTATCTTTCGCTTCTTTTTATTATTAGTGTTCTCAAATGCATCGTAACCATCCAGCCCGGCCGGTGAAGACTTTGTTTGCGACGTCTCGAGGTCCGCAGGCTGTGTCTGGCCGTTGGGAAACGGCGTGGCAGGAGGTAGCGACGACCCGCGGAACCCGCCACTTCGGCGAACTACGACCGACCCATCTTCGTCTCCGCTCTCGACTTCTGAGACGCCATTCTCGTACGGGTGGCGATGATCTCGATCAGGGCTGTGGTCATGGCCGTCATGGTTGTAGGTGTCAACAGAATGCTGTTGTTGCAAATGCACTTTGTTGTCATGACTTTCGCTATAGTCCGAGTAGGAGCGAAAGAAGAGGCGAGAGACACGGGGGGCCGGTGGAAAACGGATGGACTTTACAACCTCTGGGGAAAGACGAGAGCGTAATGGACGCTTCGGTAGAGGCCGAATGAGACGGTCGGGGTAGATGGGAGAGGGCATGTCGGGAGTGGCGGAATATGTGCCACCTAGAGTAAATTGATCGAATCAGCAATCCATCCTCCTGCTATGCTGGAGCGCGGTCAATTGTAGGCTCGAAAGCCCAGCCACGAGCACACCATCAAAATCGAATCAGGAGAGACAGGAGCATACTCAATGTAGCCGCCATATTGCCGAATTTTCTGCCTTGTTTCATGCACACGCACACACACACAGACACGACAGCTTCTCTCCAAGCACACAGCGTGCAACCACAGCACCCAGCTGTATGTCAGCTTCTCTTGTTCTCTGCTGTCGATGAAAAGGAACGTTGTAGTCCGTGGAGTTACGATGGCGAATAACAGTATATCCCCTATTCCTCTTAGTAGCTGTGGAGGGTAGACTGGGCGGTATTTGTCAAGGCCAAAAAGAGAAGGAAAAAAAAAAAAATGGAAAAAAAAAAAGGAATAGAGGACCGGCAGATAGAAAAGTATAGGATCTTTCGATGCAGGAGAAACGCAGGTCGGTCGGTTTATGAGCGAATTTAAAGGACTCACACAGGGAGGTAGGCAAATTAATCAGCAACCAAAAATGCAGACTTTTAAGGAGGGACAGTTCCAGCCTGACGACGAAGACACCAAGAAATGCGCAACAGAGCGTTAGCGGCACGGGCAGACAGAAGATGCAGGCTGATGCCAGTGGCACAGGCTGCAGAGCGACCAAAATGAGGGGAATGGGAACACGTTTCGGTACGCAAGTCGATGTTGAGGATTGAAGCATCGTTTCGTTGCTTACCGAACGAGAGACGAATTAGCCCGCTCGGGTATGCCGCGCTAGGCCCAGACGGGCTCTCTGCTGCCGCCGGCGCTAGCGATGGGCGCCTCGACAAACTGCCCTTTGCAGTTAAGAGGGCTTCGCTCGTATATTTTTAAATTTAAACAATAGTTTGGTTGGCTACTGGCGACTACGCACTAGCAACTGCACCTCTGTAAACCAAGTTTCTCCGGCCTGCGTGGATGGTGGAAGCGCCGTGCTACCGCTTCTACGGCCGCGAGCTTGCCTACAGCCAGCCAGCCATTCATCCCCAGCCTTGTCGCGATACCAACCTGCGTACGACATCCTCGGTCTACGGACAAGGCCACTGGGCCAGGCTAGGCCTGTTCCTGACAGAGTCTGTTTCGAACAGGCAGGCCTTGCGTCGGTAACGTGCAGTGCCCTCCATGCAAGAGAGATAAACCGAGAGCCCTCGCGATTTGCACAGCAAGCCAGATACATACTCTACTGCATCGTCCATCATTGCTTTATAATCATATGCTCCCCCCGCAGCCAAACAAGTAGCCAGTATTCCAGTAGTCGACGCCCGGAATGGCAGCACGCACGACGGGATCCGCGTAGGACCCCCTCGTTGACGGACCACCAGCACATCCCAATATTACGAATTGACCGGGTTTTGTAGTAGAAAGCCTCTCATGCTTTCCGTGTTTGTTAAGCAGCCGGGGTTCAAGACCTGATATTCGCTACGGAACGCGTGCTGGCGGGTACGTCGTGCGCACATCACGACGAAGGGTAAGGAGGATAACGGGGTGATTTCTTCGTAGTAATCTCGAATGGCTGGATCAGAAACTGGGACAGAGATGTGTATTTATTGTATTGCGTCGCCTGGAGCGTCAGTGATATACTTGCGTTGCATGCTTGTAGGGAGTACGTAATGACCACGGCAATGCCAATGTGCGAGGCGAGATCCACGCAGTGCTGGCAAATTCGGAGCGTGTAAATGTGTCCGTGATGCTTAGGGTCGATGAGGAGAGCAGAAAGGAAAGCAACAGCGTGCAGGGAGAGCAAGAAAGAGCGTGCTCGGAGCGAGCGGGGAAGCAGTGGACGCGAGCAGAAAACGAAGGGCGGCGGCCAGCCATCCCCGTTCCGTCGTCCTTTCCCTCTTTCTCTCTTGCTGCTTCAGTTTCTCTTCCTCTCTCTCTCTCTCTCTTCTCCCCCGCCCAGCACCTCGCAGATTATGTAGCCACGCTGCTTGCTATGATACTTCTCTGGCGATCTTCTTGGAGCAGGCAAGCCATTGCCTGATTTCTCGCAATTGTCCTGTCGGTTTTTTCTCTGCTCTCGGTCATCCGCCGAGCCACCGAAAAAGCACTCGCAGAACCCGCCTTCTTCTCGTTCCACCACGTGCAAACTCGACTTACAATTCCCCCCCGGGTTTCCAGATCGCAAAAGCAGTCCCATTGCGAAGTTCGCGCCGCTCTTGTTTTTCCCTACCTCGACCATCGTGTCGCTACAGCTCCAACTGTGGCCACCATGACTCCCCGTCGCTCCTCCCGAGCTCGCACCACCCAACCCTCCCCTGCCCTCCTCCAGCACACTAATTCCAATAGCTCTGGGAATTCACTTACTCGCGGAGAGCGTAACACCCGCTCAAACCACAAGATTTCATCCCCTCAAAGGTCGTCGACGCAACGTTCGCAGTCTATGGACGAATCGGACGGAAAACCCGACCTGCCCCAAACGCGCCAGCGCAATCGTGCCCAGGACGACGACAATGACGAGCTTTCCCAAGCAAACGAGGACGAAGAAGACGAAAATGACGAGGAAGAAGTAACTAGGTGTCTATGCGGGCAGCAAGAGTATCCAGGCCTACCGCCATCCCGTCGTGGCGCCACCGGTCGGCATCGTCACCAAGCGGCCGGCAAGGACAATGCTACAATACCAAAGGATGAGCCCGATCCCTTGAGCGATGACCTTGGGAGCATGTTCATCCAATGCGATTCATGCAAGGTATGGCAGCACGGTGGCTGTGTTGGCATCATGGACGAAGCTATGAGTCCCGACGAATACTACTGCGAAAAGTGTCGTAAGGATCTCCACAGGATCACCAGCGAATCGAATGGGTAAGTCCATTAATTCATCTCAGTTGAAGCTGTATTCTGGCGCTTTGTACAAATTTCACCTACTCGGTGGTTCCTGCTTGCTCCCCCTCTTTGACCTCCAACCCCACCGATGTTTACTTCTTTTGCCCTTCCTGGATAGCTTTCTCGACACAAAGTGCAAATTTCAAATACATTCCATTTATCCCAGAAGAAAGGATTTTTTTTTTGGCTTACGTTTCTGCAGGCAACATTCCTCTCAATACTTGCCAGTTGCGCCGGTGTTTAGTCCTGGGTCTTCTTCGCGGGAGTCATCTAGGGACAATGCTCAGCGCTCGCGCGACTCGCGGTCTCGGCAGCTCGAGATTCCTAAGCGTCGCTCTACGATGAATAGCCGCGACGCTGCTTATGACGAAGAGGAGCTACTTAGACGAGCTATAGAAGAGAGCAAAGAAGAAAGCCGGATGAGCAACGATGAGACAAGTTCACGGAGGACAAAGAGAAGCCGAAGTGATGAGGAAGTGTAAGTTTTGTATTCCGGTTGCTTCAAAGAGAGCGAGAGAAACATGATGCTGACAGGAGCACAGTAACAAACCAGCCGTCAAGCGTCCACGAACAAGTTCTCCGTCTCCGTCCGCTATATCCAAGCATAGTAACTCGATTTCGCAACCGGTATCAGAAGATGAGGCAAGATCTAAGACAAATGGAGCTATGAGACCCAAAAGAGGCGTTTCTGGACGCAACCAGCGAGAGAAGGAGACGAAAGAGCCAGAAGAACAATCAGAGGAGGAAGAGGAAGCAGAACGACCAGAGCCTATTACACGGAGAAAATCGCGATCAGAGAAGAAGCGAGGCGATGGTAAGTTGCGGGCATTTGACGAGCATAATATATGTATATTTTTGAGCAATACGTGCTAACAATCACGCGAAACAGACTCCGATCATGAAGCTGAAACATCACCCACAAAACCTTCTGCTCCACCTCCAGTTCCAGCGCCAGCTCCAAGCGAACCCGAGGCTTCAGAACCCACTCCAGGAACCCCGGTCCCAGCTACAGAGCCAGCATCACTACCGCCTCCTCCTCAACGTCAGTCGATACGAAAGTCCGGTCGCCCTCCTGCTCGCCGGGGAGGTCGATTAGGGCGCAACCAATATACACGGGATCGAGACATGAATGGTGATGGCATTAACTCGCCGAACTCGCCCCATGGGAGTCATTTCCGTGATAACGGGCGAGGCTCGCCTAGTATCGGTGGGCCCAATGGAGCTCAGGCCAATGGAGCAGAATCTAGCAAAGGCGGAAAAACTCGTCACTTGAATCCTCACCGCACATCGATGCACGAGATGAAGCGGCGGGTCGCAGCTATATTAGACTTCATTTCGCGCATGCAAGTCGAGATGGCAGCCAGTGGGGAGACAATAACACCACCAGACAGCAATAACAACAATGCCAATGTCAATGGCAATAACGGCTCATCCCGCGCAGCGTTAGTCAGAGGCGTTCAAGAACAACTGGGATCATTACTCACAGCAGCAGCCACAAACAGCGAAGGTGCATCCAGAGCAAGCTCGACGGCGTCTGCGGCAGATCTTGATGTGACGAAGGAGAGAGAAAGGGATTTCAGGGAGCTAAGTAGTGTTGAGATGATGGACGTTCTTACTCGACACCTACTGAAATGGCAACAAGAGTATGGGAAATACGGCGAGAAATAACAACCCGGTTTACCCTTTTAATTTTCACCTTCTCGTCTTCTTTTCTGTGCATATATTGGACTTCTCTGTCAATTCGTCTCATATGAAATATGGATTGTACTGGGTTTTCTGGCGTTTACTTTTCTCAAAACATCCTTGACACTGATCAAACTCATAGATACCCCCTCATAACCAACCAGCCTCTGTGTGTGTGGAGGTTCTACTTTACTTATACGGATATCATGTACTATTATCATTACTCCTTCGGTGGCGTGCTCTGTCTCTTTTCTTTTATATCTGCTTGTTTCTTATCAATGTTTGCGTCCTGGGGCGTCTGAACTGAATCTTCAATTTCTTTGTTCCCAAGGGTTGTGTTCTATGTGCCATAGGCTGGACCTGTTGAAAATCAACGTGAATGTGTCACTGTCAATATAGACGTTTCAATGTGATTTGTTATATAAGCCAGTGTAAAAGAGAAAAAGCGTCTTCCCACTTTTATGTATGAGTAGCTAGCCTTCAATAACTAAGAATAAACATACTCGACCGAATCTCGAATCGTTAAGCCTGTGCCTGAGTAGGTATCTCTAATTGAGCCCGTACCCATGACATTCCAAGGTTGGCAAAGACCTCAAATGCTACCTACAATAAGGGGATTGCCAATTCGACCCTTCCACTCAACTGAATTCAAGTAAGTTGTCATGTACGCTTCTCGACTGATCATGTATAGTTAACAACAATAAATACATTCTATCCCCTAAAAAGGCCGAATGAAGACAGAAAGCTTCCCAACTTCCAACAAGCTAATATAATCATGCCGTGAAACTTTAGTATCTACCTGGGCAGTGACAGGAAAAATATATATATATATATATATATCTGACAGGTCACGCAATACAGGGAACTTACCTCTGTTACCGTATTGGTTTGGGTAGATGTACATATGTACAGATTTCGAAGTGTTTGCGTAGTATTGTTGGTTAGGTAGGTATTGGTGTGCGTGAAGCAGGAAGAGAGTGTAAGTGGTTAAATAATATGTGTTTCTACGTATGGATGGGTTGTATGGAAAGTCTACGTAACTATTTCTGAAGACACTCGTAAGGGAATTTTTAGTAAATTACGTTTGTGTTAGTACAATATGGGTGATGGTCCTGCATGGGCATATGATAGATAGGTAACATGGTACATGTGGCATATGCAAGGGGTATGCAACTTACAAGGTTTACATTGTGGCACAACAGATTAATGAATTCATCATGACATGACCCTGTTGATTTATTTTCACTGATAATTACTCATGAAAAAGAAACATATAGAAAAGGCAGAAGGAAAAAAAAATAACAAACATGATTATACAAAGGAAAAGTAAAAACAAGAGGACCAAAACTTGAGAAACATGAAATTCCGCTCCAAATTTTGCAAATCAGGTCCTCTAACTATCCATCATACACGTTCCATCGTATCCCGGTATAACAAAAATAAATGAACAAATTTAGTAACTAGCCATCATCAAAGTACTAATTCCCTTATCCTCAGGTGGAAGGAGATTCAGAGACAGATAGTTGGCTAAGGTGACGTCAGTGAATTAAGCCTCGGCTCGGGAGCGGAACGCGGTAGTTACCGGCACTAACCTTTTTCAGATATTGACGTTTGGTTATATGTTTTTTATAGACGGGAGCCGTGGATGACCTTGAAGTCAACAACCAACTCGCGTCCACCATCGTTGATAACAAGGGCGCGAACGCTTCCTCGGCCATCACTATAGGACTGACGGATGCGGTCAAAGAGATGACCTTGGCTGATGACAGGAAGGTTCTGCTTGACATCACCAGTCTCGGTCATGGCAGTGATGAAACCATCCTCATGGACATCGAGGACACGGTAGGTCTTGTAGACAGGCCCAAGCATGGTCTGAACAACAACGGAAGGAGAAGGGTTGGAGACAAAGCTGGACTCTTCCTGCAATTGACGGGTGAAGAGGTCGACACCAAGGTAGCGGTGCTGGCCAGTTTGTGGGGAGACAGAGATACGGATCACCTGGCAGGGACGTCCCTGAAGGATGAGCAAATCACCGACGCGGATGAAGTGAACGGGGATGGGTACGCTCTCCTTGCTGGAGACGCCGCCACGCGGTGCGATGACACGGACCTCCTCGCGGACACGAGGGGCACCCTCGACCACGACCTCCTCCCTGTCGCTGTGGAAAGGGTGGAGAAGGCGGTCGGCAGCACGCTCAACGCCGCGGCGGAAGGAGTGGTATTGACCTTCGTCGTCGTAGTAACCCATCTTGGATTTAGGAGCAGGGACTTCTTCACGGATAGTGTTCTGAGTCACAGAGACTGAAGCAGCACTGTTGTATGGGCTGGGACCTTGCTGAGGAGTGACGTCGTAAGCGTCAGCACGGTAAGCTGCAGTTCCGGGTTGGTAGCGACGGTCGTAGGTGACGTCGACTTCGTAGCTAGGTTGAATACGACGGCGGATGTCGCGTTCAGTAATATCAAGCTGGGTCTCGTAGGTGCGGTCCTGGGTGGCACTACTAGTAGTAGTAGTACGGTATTCGTCGAAACGACCAATCGGTTCGCGGTAGCTGTCAGGAAAGGTCAGGTGTTATTATAATGACATGAGGGATTCGAGGCTAAACGGAAAAAGAAAAGAAAAGAATAAATCAAAACAAAAACATGACTACTGCCAACCGCCTTGGGTATAGGAGGAGCCACGTAATGACTTGGCGCGTGTCGGTGGGTTAGTGGAGCAGTCTAGTGCAGCAGCTGTGTCGCTTTTTTGCTTCTTTCGTGGCCCCGGATGGACTGCACTGTGCCTTTGTGTGGGGCCAGCTCCCACCGCTTGTTTTTGTTTTCTTTTTTCAGGTGTATTGTATTATTGTTATTGCCTATGCAGCTATAACAATAACAAGAACCCCAGAACAAAAGAAAACGAGAACAGGCAATAAACAACGCATGCACAAGCCAGGATTATTCACATAAAATAGAAAGACAAAAGAAACGGGGAAAAGGCGCAAGGCTTACCTTTGACGGGAAAGCTCTACCTGAGGAGGGAGTTGAGTAGGGTGGTGAGGGTAAGAAGGGTGGTGAGGAGGATAAGGAGTAGACTGCTTGTCGTAGAAACGGTCGCGCTCTTCGAAGACACGAGTCTCTTCGAAGTGAGGACGGCGTTCGTCGGAACGGATGCGAACGTCAACTTCTTCCTTTCCGTAGACACGGGGGTCAGGAAGAGGAGCACCAGCAGTATCTTCCCGTACGACGCGCGAAGTGCGATTGATTTCTACCTCTCCTTCTACTCTCGTCTGAGTAGTCTCAGAGACAGCGTCACTCCGGTACGACGACGGGAAGACACTGAAGGGGATGGGTACGCGCGCCTCAAAGTCCAGATTGCCTGTCCTTCGGGCGTCCTTTCTCGAATGCCTTTCGAACTGTCAGAAACAACTCGAAAGGCGAGACAAGAAAAGACTTGACTGCGGGAGGAAAGTCTTTTGCGAGGAGGGAGGATGGGGATAAGGTTGGAATGCTGGATGGCAATTCAAGCTTATCGACCACGTTTGTTGGAAGAAGGAAAAAGATGCTTAAGCAAAGTTGGAATGGAAGGCAAGAGAGGAATGGAAGATTGAGATAGATGGATGGAGGAGTAGGAGGGAGGAATGCGAGCTGGAGGTGGGATCGGCTTGTTTATGGAGGTTGGGCTCAGGCTGCGGCTTGTTTGGGGCTAGCCGAGGCGTGACCGCGCTGCATGTAAACAAAGCTAGGCTGGACATGGCTAGACCGTGCGATCACATGTTTTCCGCCTAGCCTCGCTCGGCAAGTTAGTTGTTACTCCAGCATGGACAGCTCCAGCCTCCCCAGCCACCGTGATCCCTGACCAGAGAGTGATCTGTTGTTAAATCAGCTCCATCGGTAATACCGTAACAACCAGAACTGGCGAGACCGGGTGGTTGGCCAGCGCTCTCCAGTTGAGTCGAGTCGAGTCGGGTCCAAGGCCATCGCCGGCGCCAACGATTACTGCTTTTCAGGACAATCGGGGGAATCAAGAAAGTGGAGAAGGCTGCAGCAGCCTAGACACCGTGTCGCCATAGCAACTGCAGCGGTTGCTCCTCGTCTAGGCCCGATTCGTAGGGTACTAAGATCGCTAGCTTCAGCTCGCTGCGGATCCCTGCATCCTTCCGACTATTGCCGAGATACATAGTTCCTAATGGCCTCTACCAGGTTGCTATGATATGCACTTTGTTATGATCTATATGTTACATGAATACGTATATTCATCGATGGAGTGGCGGATATCAAAAGCCACATTATAACCTCCAGCCAGCGTGTCCGGTGTTCATTGGCATGATGAATTTGCATCCTTACACGCAAGCAGCAACACGTTTCATTTCTCCACTCGTGTTTCAGTGGACTTGTACCGAGTAGCTTTAGCCTTGCTCTTTCTTTGCTCGGCCCAGCCAGCCAGCCTCCGACCTGATGCGCAAATCAGATTGTGGTTTTGTTTGTTTATCACGGCGGCGTGACGCGGAAGTGCCGCGTTAAGAAGATCTAACCCTAACTTATAGTCCGTACACCTTGCATAAAACTTTGTGTTTTATGAGGTCTTTGTATGATTTCGAATCTGAAAAATAAAAATAAATAGAGGTCGAGGTAACCAGTCTTGATGCTGGTATGTCAGAAATAGGAGGGACATTTATATTCCCCCCAACGATAGACCGATTATTCTAACATATTATCGATACAAATTCAGTACAGTTAATAGATGTATATATTTCCAAATGAAAAGAATATATATAAGAGAAATGTGCGTAACTAATCCAGAGAAATCCGGAAAGGGGGAAAAGAAAAGAAACAAACTCCACCCACTATTCCAAGAGTCAAAAGTCTTGTCATATCCAAATCCTTCGTGCCGTGGTATCAATTGATTTGAGTGTTCGAGGAGAAAAACAAAATGAAATGAAATGAAAAAGAAGTCTGAAATAATTCACAAGAAAGGAAGGAAGAAATAAATCCTCGGCCTTTGCAGATGAGCTGAAATCGCTGAGGTAATCGGTAAAATGGAAAGTTCTCTTTATGTAACTGCAACGTAATGAAAAACATTAAGTGAAGTAAAAGTCTTAGGGGCACGTACATGGGAAGAAGAGAAAGGAAAAGAGAGAATAGAAAAGAGAAGGTCGGCTTTTGCCAGAGCCAGTTCAATCACGTAAACCGAATGCTTTCCTCAACATTGGGAATCGTTTCTTCTTGCCTGTGTGGCCAACAACAACCTCCGATGCAGTTGATGTTACTCTCGAATCTATGCTGCCGCTAGTCCCATGTCGATTGATATGAGGACGAACACCACCAGAATGATCCCTGGCATTTGAACCGTTCACAATACCGTCAGATGTCGATGGGCGGGTCCGAGTGTCATCTGGAATAGACTTCAGTGGTGAAGACTGCTCGGACGATAAAGGCCAAGTGTCATTGAATGCATGCTTCTGCTTTTTCTGCAGTTTCGGAGAGATCGGTCGAGCTGAGTACGCATCGGCCTCGTCCCTCGTTCGTGCCAGTTCCAGACGGGATCTCTCCAACGGGGTGTCCCTTTTAGCAGGGCCCTCTATGTTAGACTTCTGGACTTTGCCGTCTTTCCCGCTACCCCTGGTCGGTGACCTAAACCGTGAAAGTATCCCCTTTTTCTTTGGTTGAGAGAGAATCCTGTCTATGTCCTCTTGGGTCATCTGCTGACTAGCTCTGATAGCGCCGTTTCGTATTTGCCGCTTCGTTTGTTCGTCTGAACTGTCGTCCAGATCAGTTGATTCGCCATCATATTTACCTTGACGCCTGGGGATGCCTCGGACTGGTGTCAAATTGCTAGTAGTCGGCTCGTCTTCATCACTGGAATCAGCAAATCGACTTCTAAACAAACGACGGCCACCGCTACTCTCATCGTCCGAATCTTCAAGTCGGGACCCAGCATTTGAAGACACCACCATGCTCCGTGGCCGCAGACGTGTAGAGTTATCTCTCAGGCTGCCAAAACCGGATGAGCGTTCAGAAGGCGGTCCCCTCATAGTGGTGCGCATGGAGGACGTCCGTGGAGATGTTGCTCTCGTAGCATCAGTCTCCAAGATTGATGTGCTGGTTCGCATTGTTCTCCTCATAGAGAATTGGCCCCCAGCTCCGGAACGAGACGAACGCCGAGTTCGTTTGAAACTACTATCCGAATCACTGTCGTTCGATGTCATCTTTGACAGACTGGCAGGGTAGGTCATAGACTGTGGAAGAGGCTTGGTGTTGGTTTGCCTCCTGGGGAACGCATTGCCCCTGACCTCAATCTGGCTTGGTGCCGATGCACGTTTGGATCTTGCATGTGTAGACGAAGAAGGGGAAGAGGTCTTATTGAAGGATTGCCTAGGTTGCTGGAGCCGCTGAACGTCCCCTTTGTCCAACGCTTTTCGCAAATGAGAACCCTGGTGCGGACTAGGCGACAAGTCCTTGTGTTCTGGTTGAACTGGAGTAGAAGGGCTGACTGAGGAGCTCAGTGGGGGTTTGAGTGGCCACGAAGGATTAGCTGGGGCGGGATTCCGCTGCTTCTGTGAGCTAACCGTAGAAGCGATTGGCCCTTGCAATGGGTTAGGAGTTGCGGGCATTGTTGGGTTAATAGCCTCTAAAGACGGAGAAGGCACTGGTTCGGCGACCTTTGCTAACGGATCTGATTGCGTGGGTGTGCGAGTAGGACTATCTGGAGCTTCCTTTGGCAACTGAGTCCCAGTTGGCACGGGGCTATCGACAATAGCATTAATTGAGCCAAAAACACCGTTTTCGAGTTCGTCAGGATCCTCGGCAGCATCGCTATAAATGCTTTCTCCAGAATCATCATCACTCTCCTCTTCTTGAGGTGGTGGCTTTATATCTTTTGAAGACTGGGTTGAAGATTTTATCTGCGACGCCAAATTTTGCTGAGTCTGTACTGGAGTAACCCGCTCTGCTACATACGATGGGAAGCCACCCGGCATATCGCGAAGGTCAATGCTCTGTCGATGATCTTCGCCAGGTGTGGCGGGTTGAATAGCAATAGTAGGCACAGGCTCTTTAAGCATCTCATCTTGTTGCTCCTTGACTGTCTTTTTAGCAACGATCTCAGGGTCTGGAACGGGTGATGCCTCTGTTAGGTTCGCCGGAGGGGTCAGGCTCTGGCTCTCCTCTTCCTGGACAGTAGGAAGATTGTGTACAACAGCACCATCCAGAATTTGGTTTTCGCTTGGGACTTCTGGCGTTGCGTGGTTACGTGTTTCCGTTTCAGAAAGCGAAGACTCGTTTGTCGGGTCACCAAAACGATGTTGGTGAGCGTTGACAAGAATACCGCCAATGGCGTGATCACTAGAAGCACCCATATTTCGAGAGTCCAAGTCGTCATCGGATGATAGGTCTGAATCATCATCAGATGCAGCCAAAGAAGTAGCATTTTCTGAATCCCTGGTGCCACGAATACTGCCGAAAGACGGAAGTGCTGGCCTGGGCCGGAGGACTGACTCAAATTCATCATCCCCTGTAACATCTTTGGTACTAGTTCCTTTTTTCAAGCCAATACCAAACCACTTCTTTGACTTGAGCTTCTCCACAGGACTTTGGGACCTGTTCATTGGCTCTGGGGAAGTAGGTGGACTAGCAGCCACTCCCACAACTTCAGCTTCATCGTCGAAACTGACCTTGGCGAGTTTCTTTTTTGAGCCAGTTCGAGATCCATCATCCGAAGCTACAGATGTCCCATCGGAAAATTCACTCGGGGTTTTCCCCAAATGCATACGGCGATCTGGCGAGGAAGAATTCTTGAGAGCTGGCTTTGCAGGAGAAACTGATCGTGGGGGAGGCTCATGCAGAGGCGAGTTTGAACCAATAGTCAATTGAGTCGAAAACCTAGCGGACCGATTGGGACTAATGGATGGCTGCCGTTCGGGTAATCTTTTGTCAGTAGTATTGTAATCGACGGTGAGTCTATCTGCGGGTGACGAAGGTGCTGATGAGGTAGACGGTGATGGCCGGTTTTGTATATTGGCTACCATTTGAGTCGTATGGATAGGGTGGATGTCAAGAGCCTCGCGTGCAGATTGTGATCTTTGTACAGCAGGAGATTCGGCAACTTCTCCTTGTACAGCATCTGCCGCTTCCGCTAGCTCCTCCCCTTCATTATCTTCCATTACCATTGAAGGACGCTTCTTAGGCTGAGGCCGAACGCTCTCATTATCTACAGCCTGAACACTATCATGCTCGTAGACCACAGAAGAAGATAGGTTTTCGGCGACAGGGATAGATTGGTCAAAGGAAAATCCTGTAGCTGATCCTTGAGCGGATTCTTGAGTCACTGGTTGAGGCGGTTCCTCTTCGTAAACTTCATTCTCATCTTCCAGTGCGGTCCCTGTAGGACGACTTCCCATGGTTTTATGTGCAAAATGGCTCCCCTCTCTTGCCTTTGGCGCAGCTGTCTGTGGCTTTGTCTTCTCTTTCCGATTAGCAGTGCTACTTATTGATTGTTGAATACTGGCAGTTTCCACAGGAGATAGCGATGCGCTTGGTGGTTGCTCGACTGAATTCCTTCTCATTTCATGCTGCACCGGTGAATGTGGTGGAGAGTTGGGTCGTGCGCTTATCGGGTAAGAGAAATTAACGGATGTCCTGCTCCCCGGGCGTTCGATTTCAGGCGAATTTCCTATGGCAATGCTGCTGCGTGGAGATGTGGCCCTTGCAGTAACATCACTAGGGGCGCGATCCAGACTAAGTACCCGGCCAGTCCCTGATTTTGTAGACGGCGGTTTACCCCTATTCGGCTGAACGCTTGCTGATCGTCGAGGTGGCATGGTGCGATTCGGCATGTTCTGTGGAATCGGGGGCACTGGAGGGGCGTGGTAAGAAGAATTGCTCAAGCTGGTTTGTGATCGACCGGCAGGAGAGGGCTCGCGAAAGGTACGCGATGTCATCGATCCAGAACTGGGAGTACGGCGCAGGGTAGGTTGAGAGCCATGACGGAAGCCACCTGATGAGCTGCCGCGAGACGAGTTTGATAGCTGCCGTTGCAGCATCCGTTTTGTCTGGACACTTCCGACAGATGTAGGAGGCGGCGTGTGACTTCGCAGTGCAGCAGCGGCGGCTGCGGAAGAGAGACCTGCGCTGGCATCTTGGCTAGCTGTGAAAGCCCGCGAAGCGGCGGACTGGGCGGATGCAGAAGGCGTGGTATTCAAAGGCTGGAAATCATTTCGGTATTAGCAGGCTTCCAATCCGGATAAGATACTGAGATATCGATAGCATGGCTGATAGAAGTCCTGCATCCAGCGATCCAGCCAGAGATACCAGGGAGGAAGAGATAAAGACAGAATGCAGCTTCCTTCTTTTTTTTTCTTTTATTTTCCCTTTTATATCTTTTTCTCAATAGGAATACGAACCTGATGGCGAGACGCACTTCTGCGACGAAACATAGCGTCTCCAGCAGATGTCGTGGAGACAAACAACACTCGCCCACTAGTCACGCGGCGAGGAGAGTAGTAGACGTTCAAATGTTGAGAGAGCCGTGTCAATTGCGCAGTGCTTAGGAGACGGCGCTGAAGGGCAGCTATTTGGCGATGTTTCTGATAGAAGTTTTGAATTTATTCTCGTAAGGCAGGTTCCCAGCAAGGTTGGGAAGGCGGGTGTCGTCAGATTTAGGCGCCACAACCGCTCGGGCCAGAAAGGGCTAGCGGAGGTTGATTGTTGATTATTGAATTGAGGATTGGCGAAATAATGTCGATTCGGAAGCTAAGCAAGGAGCAGCAGGAAATTGATGATGATGATTATTATCATTATAATTAGAATTAGAACTTAGTATGTATCACCATAAAAAAAGGAGCCAAAGCAGCGCAAAATAAAGAAAGAACACGGCAGATGTGGCTCGACAACGATGAAGAGCGAGAAGAGAAGAGACGATGACGCAGAGCAATGAATGAATTGGTGTGGCTTGCTTAGGCACCGCTACCCAAGACCCGAAACAGGCCTAGCGTTCCCTGTTCGCGCTTTTGCGTCATGGTCGAATTCAATGTGGACCATGCGTCCAATCAGAGGCCCAATACTCGGCAAATGCCCCGCTTCACCTTGCCTTGTTGGGATGTTCCTTGTTGAGGAAAACGCCTTCCTCTTTGGGATCCCCCGGTGGCTGTGCAATGATCTTCTTCTCTACTTCCAAGTTTGCAGGCGAAGCTTCCCTATGACTCTTCGGATAATTTTGAGGATTTGTGGACTTCCGGTGAAGAAGTTGGCGGGTGGGACTCACTATCACGTCCCTGATCGTCGCGTCCTGATTTAGAGCTTCATTGACAAATTGCACCTCCGTGTTTAGTTAGAATGTGCAAGACTGCTTGAGCTCAAGCCGTCCGTGCAGTGAGTGCATAGTCATACTGAAAGAGACTTGCTGGGTATAAATAAGCGTTGTCCTCGGTATCTACTCACCATCCAAATCCAATAATGACTCCACCATGAGGAAAGTTTCAGAATCACGTGCATATCACATGCTCTGCGTTCCTCTAACCATAAAAAAGAAGATGCATTAACGAGCATCAAAACAAGAGTCAGCAACTCGATCAATTCAATCAAAGACCATCATGGCATCACTAACAACAGCACCCGACCCAGCTCCTCTCCCACTTCCTCCAGGCATCACGTCTCGCCAGATAGATCTGACTAGACATGGCCATCTCTCCTACCATATTCTCGAAGCCGGCTCACCCTCCGATCCTCTCATCATTCTCCTTCATGGATTTCCAGAGTTAGCATTCTCATGGCGCAAAATAATTCTCCCGCTCGTCAACGCTGGTCCATACCATGTCATTGCGCCCGACCAGCGGGGCTTTGGTCGAACAACCGGTTGGGATTCACGCCCATACTCAGAGGCTGACTTGCACAATTTCTCGACAACCATGTATGTGCGCGACGTTCTTGCGTTGGTGAGTGCGTTGGGACACAGCATAGTCAAATGCCTGGTGGGCCACGATGCTGGCGCTGTGACTGCCGCTGCCTGTGCCGTCATTCGGCCGGACGTATTTGAAAGTGTGGCCTTGCTCACTCATCCGTTCAACGGGATGCCAAAGCTGCCGTTTAATGTTGCTGCTTCTTCGGCGGGGGCTTCAACCACGTCTCCTCCAGCCGGTGCTGTTGCTGGTGCTGGTGGCAATATCAATGACAAACTCGCGGCCTTAAACCGGAAGCACTATAAGTGGTACTACTCGACTCACGATGCAAATGCTGACATGGCTGGACCCATCACTACCGGTGGTCTTCGAGCGTTTCTGCGTGGGTATTTCCACGTCAAATCTGCTTCTTGGGGCAAAAATGACCCACATCCATTAAATCAGCAGGGAGGTGATAAAAAGGGAGAATGGCCTGTAGAAGAAGTTATCGAAATGCCATGGTACTATATAATGCCGCTGAAAGCCACCATGCCGGAAGCAGTTGAGAGTCTGATGACAGGAGAATCTACAGAGAGCTCCAAGAAATGGCTAACAGATGACGACCTGGAAGTTTACGTCTCAGAATACGCGCGTACCACTTTCCAAGGCGGACTGAATTGGTACCGCGTACAAACCGCCGATGCTGGCAAATCGTCTAGGCTAACACAGGACTTGGATGTCTTTGCCGGGTTGCCAATCAAAATTCCATGTGCTTTCATTGGCGGTGACAAGGACTGGGGCACGTATCAACAGCCTGGAGCCATTGAAAGGATGTCTGGAGACAAGGATGTATGCTCCGATTTCCGGTTTTTGCGCATGGTGCAAGGTGCTGGGCATTGGATTCCGCAGGAGAAGCCGGCTGAAGTTGTGCAGGGGATATTGGAGCTTACCAAGAGTTTGGCCTAGGTTATACCTATTCTTCGTTCTCTTGTTGAACCTTTATACTATCCATCTCACCAGACGAGTTTCCATCTCTCGTCTACCCAAGTATCGCCCACGTGAACATGAAATTCGTTGATGATACCGAAATTCTGCTATAGAATACGTAACAATAGAGATGATAGTTGCTCGTAAAAGGAACTCGCTAAAGCATATATAACAATCAACTGTTCTCAAAACAAGCAACATTATGGTCCCTCACAAACGCCATACCAGAACGCCTTCGTCGTTTCGTCGACGTATTTCAAGGAGAGACAAAAAGGATATACCACAAGTAGAAACATATGTCCAAGCAAATAGTGTATCGGGTATAGTATCAGATATCATTTGAGATTTGATCATTCGCAAAGGATGTAGGGATTTAAACGTTATTTCTTTCTTCGTTCACAAAGTGTTTTTTTTTTAAAACACTAGCCCCGACAAAATCATGGTAAAGAATGTGACAAAGCTAATTGGAGCGAAGCCTGGCGAAATGCCCGCGCTTGCAGAAGAGTTAGAAGTCGTGATGTTGATCTCGTAGATGTCTGCAAACGCGATGTCAGACGAGTTAAAGCAGTTTTCTGTTGTAACTTCAACGCAGTCCTCTGGCTCAGCAAATTCGATGTCGACACACTAAAGTTCATTTCCGTTAGTAATTTGCCTTTACAAGCTGCGAGGGCTATAATTACGTTGTACAGAGCTGCACCATGCTTCGCGGTCTCAATAACTTGGATCGTTGCCAGATCACCGACCTTCACCGTCAGACCGGCCGGCAATGGCACTTGAGGTAGACAGAATGTACCCGGGTACGGTTCGGCAGAGGGTCCGATGATCTCAATCGGGGACAGCATGGGGTTGCTCATGTTTGGTGGAACAGCACCAAGTCCGAGGTTGAAGTAGAAGAAGGCTGTTGCATGGCCTTGAAACCAACCAGGCTGAACAGAGATGGCTCCGCCATTGACAGGCCATTTGGTGCGATTAGTTGAGGTGGGCATTCCTCCGCCTATCGACGCAGATCGTCAGTTGGTTTGAACGTGGATGTACATGATAGAAGAGGAGAAGAGAAACTTACAAGGATACATCCATTCCATTCCGTACGGATAGATGGTTGAACCGTTGATCGTTGCTGACCCAAGACCATTTGATTCCTCAACAGTGCCATTAGTATGAAGATTATTCCCCCGATAACCAGGGTAGACGATGACGGTGTGTGCGTTGACAAAGTTAACGTAAGATAGCAGTGTAACGGCCAAGGCTGTCCACCTTGACATTGATTGCGAGAAGCGCATAGTGAAAAGATTAACTGTAACTTCTTCCACCCTCACTCTTGATATGAAGAGGGTTTGGTTGAACACCAAAGTCAACAAGTAGAAGGTATGCTCAGAGACAGGCTATGATTGATATGGGAGAGCAAAAGGGATTTTGAGCTTGGCAGCGACTGTAGCTTATATGTACAAGGCAGAGAAAAGAAGGTCTTTCCAGCGGGGGAACCGGCACCAGAAGTAGTGGGCAGAAATACGAGAAATGGTTACAGCGCTGCACACCAGGGCGCCTAGAGATCTGAATTCAAATGTGACAGACGAAGCACATCCGACCCACAGTCACACGTTGACCATAGGCAGATATCGAAGCCGATTTGATGGATGGCCATTGAGCGTCGGATTTGCGGGTGCTTCCCGTCACGAAGTCGCAGGATACCCGTGCTATTTTGTGGCACGGAGGGGGTTGAGACAGACATCCTCAGTCAAGGAACGCCCAGTTGATTCGTCGAGATGGTGATAGAGGGCAATGCCACATAGCCAGCCAACGAGAAAGCAGATGTGCGCAAATCTGCAAGGTTCGTCACATCCAATCTGCATGAGAAGAAGCATCCCAGACAAATGATTTGCTGCAGGATTGCCGCCGAGGTGAGCGCTAAATGTGGGAGGCTTGCTCTAGCCTCCTAGCTCCCCTTATCTTTATTCGCATCCGTCCCCGCAGCGAGCTCTGATTGGGGCCTGTGTATTTTTCTCCCATTCCTTGGACGTGTCTATTTGCATGCGTGCTTTCGTTAGGCCAGCGCTTAAGCTGCCACTCTGATTGGGGGATGCCATTTTTTTTTCTGTAGCCTGCAATTCTTTGTTGCTATTCCTTCTTTCGTGCGGTACCCTCTTGTCGCCGATCTTTTGAGACTTCATTGTCACCGACATGGATTGTGATGGTCTCCGCATCAAGTCGGCTAGATGTGATACCGGAAGCTGTAGCGCATATAACGGTGAATGCCAGAGACCCCTCCTTCTGACCCTGCTGCGAACGCGTGAGCGACAAAGAACCCAAGCTGGCGCTTATTGGCAGCAGCTAGAGCAGCTTACGAATAGAGGCCGAATGTGATGCGGATGTAGAGTTGTCGTAATAATTGAAGTAGAAATGGTGGGAGAAAATAATCCCGGGAAGCCGCAGAGGACGCTCGCTCTGCAGGAAACGCGCTCATGTGACTCCGCGCATTGCTTCCTTCTGGTCTTCACCGATCTTATGCGCTCTCTTCTTGATCATAGCTATCATCCTGCAAATGCCATATGCCGCCATCTCTATAAGAGTTGAAGTTGGCCAAATCCAAATACAAGATGAAGATTCAAGATACAGCTGCAAATAGCGCTAACCCCAAACGGGCTGCCGACTCCACACTGATCTAAACGATCTTCTCCGCCGTGAAGAAATGAATGAATATAAATCATTGGCTTGAGGAAATGGCCTTGAGCGCCATTGCCAGACAATCCGGCAATTTTATGCAATATTGAACTGTTAGTGTGCGATACAATTATTCCGAGCTTCTCACGAACTAATTCAAAAACTTGGCAGAGCCCTATGCATCCATAATATTCATCATGCCACAAACATCGCGAAATCGCAGAAAAAAACCTCCTCATTCTAGGAGAGTTGAAATCACTGATGAAGATGGCTGGACCCATGTTGCTAATACCCATAAATTACCATCATCACGAGCCCACGCGCAAAAGAAGGCGATTTCAATGGTGACAGATGGCGCAGCAGACGAAGACCCAGATGAAGTATTACGGCTCGGCGATGCTGGGGAGAAGCCCCTATTATTACCACCCGCAGAGGCGCCGTCACGATTGACCATTGCCGACTTGCGGAAACAGTTTGATGCGCATCTAGCAACATGGGAGTCATCCTTGGCATGGCAACATCTAAGAAGCGCGTTGCACAACGACGTTCTAGCTAATAGAGAGCTAGTCGATGATGGCGACGACAATAATGAGGCTAAGAACAGCCAAATAGACATTGACAATGTTGTCTGCATCGGCCTCGGGTCTCCCAGTGGCTTCGTCCAAGGCGGATGGGTTGACCGCCGGAGTGTGGCTCTATACCAACTAGCAGCGCTAGTTTCAATAATCAACTGTCTCACAAAGGCTCTGCGAAAACATTTTCCTTCCCATAGATCACAACAAGGAAAGGGAGGAGACGAAGGAGCAGAGAATACCAAACACATGAGAGTCATCGCACAAGATCCCGTCTTCAATACGCTCGACACACAACTCCTTTCCTCCCTCGGCATTACAGTAGTGCAGACCCCCGAAGGATTCAACTCGGTCACCACCAGGACTTTCCTATTCGCCCCCGGTGCCGAAAGGAGACATCTCCAGCTCATATTACCATCGAACCCGGCAATGGTTTTTGGTGGACCATTGGAGGAAGAGCCATCGTTAACCGTTCATACTAATAACAACCATAGTCAGAGCTACTATTCCGACAGCAGCAATAAGAATGCCAGTGGCACCAGCGGCATGTTATCTGCTAACGAGTACGAGGATGCCATAACCCGCTTCTCGACGCAGACCCGTTCGGTGAAGATAGCAGAGTTTGAGTCTAGACCAGAGACTTTTTGGCGAATGAGAATATATTGGCGAGATTGATCGAGTTGGATATTAGCATTATAATCTACGAACCTTGGTCCCCCCTTTCTTTCTTTTTGTCCGTCGTAAAGGCTTTTTTTTCTTTTTTCTTTTTTTTTGGGGGTAAAGCTCGACCATTAGGTTTCGAGATCGGGAAGAGTCGGGGGGATAGCGGAGTCTACCATATGGGGAATGGGTCCG